TAAAAGAAAATACACCACGTTCCTTTAGGGGCTCTGTAACATAGTGGACAAATAGTGAACATAACTGAAGTGGGTGGTCAGCCTCTTACTTTACAAAATCTGCTTGTTATATGAGATTAAAGGTTCAGAGTGAAAGTTCTGAGAGAGTGACACAGTGAACTGTTCACAGTGAACTGTTCTGTAAACGCACCAAGTGGTGTTGTTGTCCTTGGTGTTGTTGTCCCCGGTGTTGTCGTCGTTGGTGATGTTGTCGTTGGTGTTGTCGTCATTGGTGGTGTTGTCGTCGTTGGTGGTGTTGTCGTCGTTGGTGGTGTTGTCGTCGTTGGTGATGTTGTCGTTGGTGTTGTCGTCATTGGTGGTGTTGTCGTCATTGGTGGTGTTGTCGTCGTTGGTGATGTTGTCGTTGGTGTTGTCGTCATTGGTGGTGTTGTCGTCAATGTTGTTGTCGTTGGTGGTGTTGTCGTCCCTGGTGTTGTCGTTGTCGGTGTTGTCATCGTTGGTGTTGCTGTCGTTGGTGGTGTTGTCGTCAATGTTGTTGTCGCTGGTGGTGTTGTTGTCCCCGGTGTTGTCGTCGTCGGTGTTGTCATCGTTGGTGTTGCCGTCGTTGGTGGTGTTGTCGTCAATGTTGTTGTCGTTGGTGGTGTTGTTGTCCCCGGTGTTGTCGTCGTTGGTGGTGTTGTCGTCAATGTTGTTGTCGTTGGTGGTGTTGTCGTCCCCGGTGTTGTCGTCGTCGGTGTTGTCATCGTCGGTGTTTCCGTCGTTGGTGGTGTTGGCGTCAATGTTGTTGTCGTTGGTGGTGTTGTTGTCCCCGGTGTTGTCGTTGTTGGTGGTGTTGTCGTCAATGTTGTTGTCGTTGGTGGTGTTGTCGTCCCCGGTGTTGTTGTCGTCGGTGTTGGCGTCGTTTGTGTTGTCGTCGTTGGTGGTGTTGTCGTCAATGTTGTTGTCGTTGGTGGTGTTGTCGTTGGTGGTGTTGTCGTCAATGTTGTTGTCGTTGGTGTTGTCGTCGTTGGTGGTGTTGTCGTCAATGTTGTTGTCGTTGGTGGTGTTGTCGTTGGTGGTGTTGTCGTCCCCGGTGTCGTCGTCGTCAATGTTGTTGTCGTCGGTGTTGTTGTCGTTGGTGGTGTTGTGATTGGTGGTGTTGTTGTCTCTGGTGTTGTCATGGTCAGTGTTGTTGTCATTGGTGGCGTTGTCGTCGATGTTGTTGTCGTTGGTGGTGTTGTTGTCCCCGGTGTTGTTGTCCCCGGTGTTGTCGTCGTTGGTGGTGTTGTTGTCCCCGGTGTTGTTGTCGTTGGTGGTGTTGTCGTTGGTGGTGTTGTCGTTGGTGGTGTTGTCGTCCCCGGTGTCGTCGTCGTCAATGTTGTTGTCGTTGGTGGTGTTGTCGTTGGTGGTGTTGTCGTCGGTGGTGTTGTTGTCGTTGGTGGTGTTGTCGTTGGTGGTGTTGTCGTCGGTGGTGTTGTTGTCCCCGGTGTTGTTGTTGACGGTGTTGTCGTCAGTGTTGTTGTCGTCGGTGGTGTCGCTGTCGGCGTTGTTGTCGTCGGTGGTGTCGTCGTCGGTGTTGTTGGCGTCGGTGTTGTTGTCGTTGGTGGTGTTGTCGTTGGTGGTGTTGTCGTCGGTGGTGTTGTTGTCCCCGGTGTTGTTGCCCCCGGTGTTGTTGTTGACGGTGTTGTCGTCAGTGTTGTTGTCGTCGGTGGTGTCGCCGTCGGCGTTGTTGTCGTCGGTGGTGTCGTCGTCGGTGTTGTTGGCGTCGGTGTTGTTGTCGTTGGTGTTGTTGGCGTCGGTGTTGTCGTCGTCGGCGTTGTTGTCGTCGGTGGTGTCGTCGTCGGTGTTGTTGGCGTCGGTGTTGTTGTCGTTGGTGTTGTTGTCGTCGGTGTTGTTGTCGTCGGTGGTGTCGTCGTCGGTGGTGTCGTCGTCGGTGTTGTTGTCGTTGGTGTTGTTGTCGTTGGTGTTGTTGTCGTCGGCGTTGTTGTCGTCGGTGGTGTCGTCGTCGGTGTTGTTGGCGTCGGTGTTGTTGTCGTTGGTGTTGTTGTCGTCGGTGTTGTAGTCGTCGGTGGTGTCGTCGTCTGTGTTGTTGTCGTCGGTGTTGTTGTCTCAGATGTTGCTGTCTCCAGTGTTGACTCCATTGTTGAGATGAGGGGGCTCATTAACGTGGTGTTAATCTCAGTTGTTGTGTTGATCAGGAAGGTCTGATTGCCTATAACAGAGGCAACTGACAAACGTTAGGTAGAATTCAAAACCTTCCAATCGTCCAAACTCTGGACGATGGCTTTATTAATTACTCACAGAACTTAAACATGCTGGCCAAACGTAAAGTACACTTTATGTCTTTCTTTACGGTCCACAATTAGTTTATTTCATAATGTCCGCAACAGAATTATTGGCAGTCTTGAACAAGAAACAAACAAAAGCTGTACCAAATGAGCAAATCTGTACAAAGTAATCAGAGAAGCTACATTATGCTAACTCCCTCTCACCTCTGCAGCTTAAACACTGTCCAATGGGGAAACCAGTTAAGTCCACGAAAAACCCTCTTACATCACATAAAAAGCTAATTGGACTGTGTTTAACCCCAGCAGTGTTACTCATTACATATCAGCAATGTTGTGCTAAACACACACACACACACACACACACACACACACACACACACACACACACACATCATCTAAACCGCTTATCCCTCTGGGTCATGGTGGAGTGCTGGAGCCTATCCCAGCTGTCATTGGGCGGAAAGCCAGGATACACTCTGGATAGGTCGCCAGTCCATCGCAGGGCAGACAGACAGACACACACATTCACACACACTCACACCTAGGGGCAATTTAGCACATCCAATCAGCCTGACTGCATGTTTTTGGACTGTGGGAGGAAACCGGAGTACCCGGAGGAAACCCACACAGACACGGGGAGAACATGCAGACTCTGTTGTGCTAAACACTACTGTAAAATATGGAAACTGTTTTAAAGAAAGCAGAAAATGCTTCAAAACACCTTTTAGTAGACTTAGTTTGCCACTTTAACTTGACTATATTTATGACCATTAATATGAATGATCTTCCTTATGCATTTGGACAAAAGGACAGGAAAAAAGTATTAAATGAAAAATAAATACATTAGATTCATTTACTTTTGTTCATACGATTGTCAATAATTCTGGAGCCAGATGTACGTTCAAGATCATAATTCATTCGCCCTTATTATTACCTGAGCACAACAGCCGACTAATTAACGTTTAGGTTTCTGTCTTACTCTATTATATGAAGTCAACAGCTCGAGCTCTACAGCCTCACACTGTTTCTCCAAGGGTCACTTTTCCAGGTCAGGGATTAAGCCTCGTACTAAGATACATTTACTCTCCATTTAGACTGCTAGTCCAGGATTAGGCTTAATCGCTGCCTGGGAAAATGACGCAAAGATTTTGATACTATAGTTTTATATGAAACACTGTAGATGAACTTATGTCTTACCGTAGGACTGTCCATTAGTAAAAGCGATGGCGCCCACAAGCAGCATTAAGAGGAGCATGTCTTCAGCTAGATGTGTCCGCTTGGGCTGACTGAAGTGAAGGACTTTTCATGTGGGACTCTCCCTTAAACTGTTACACACCTTGAGCAACCAGCACTTCCTGTAAGGCAACTACTGTGTATAAAAAATGTCTGGAATCTCTGCATTAATTAGAGAAGCTCACAACTGACTGACCTGTTAACCTGTCAAAAGCCTGGACTCACATGACTGAACCATCTTAAGAGACTTAAGAGACTTATGATTAAATGCTTTTATATATACATATGTATCTATCTATCTATCTATCTATCTATATATATATATATATATATATATATATATATATATATTTTAAAAAATATATACATATATATATACACACAGTTGTATGCAAATGTGTGTGTATATATATATATATATATATATATATATATATATATGTATAAATGCAAATAAATATACATATATAAACTTGACTTGAAATGACATTTTCTGCATATTTTACTGCTGTAACTTTCGCACAGGCCACAATTTGTTTTATTTTTTCCAATACATTAAATTTAGAAAATAAACAGTATTTTTGCATGAATATGTGCAGAGGTGTGCTCTCTGCAGAGGATGTGTTCACTTACTTACACTTTAAAAAATTAACAAAACTTTGACCAGTGGGTGCCCTTTTGCACATGACTGTAAACACACACACATTATATATGGTCACTTCTACTCTAAAATGTGGAAAACAGTAAAAGGAAGGAAAACGAATCTGTGAGTAGATCATCTGAGCACTTGAAATATGTAAACAGACAAATATTTCGAATGCATTAATTTTAAAGGGGAATTCCACCGATTTAACAAAATTACAATCATTCAATGGTTTAGATGTAAACAAAATCATTCAGGGCATGCAGGGTGGAGAGGTACATGCAGAGCGTTTTAACCATTATCAGGGTGACATAAAACCTATAAGACACACAAAAGTTCACTGGTCATTTTAAATAGCAGATAAAATGGTGATATTTGTAGTGTAGACATAACAACGTCTGGTTCCTAGCACTACAATGATGAACAATCTTGATTCGATAAGTTTCTCTAGAAAGGCTCACTTCACACCAGACCACTCTGAATGACTTTGTTTACATCCAAATGCTTGAATGATTGTCATTTTGCTAAATCAGTGGACTACCCCTTTAACTATGAACTAACCCTGAGCTTTTCGTGTGCAGCAGATTAGTAATGACAATAATCTAAATGACTTGCGGGAGCTGCTGTGTTTTTCCAATGTTCACAGATATTCATGAAGGTTTTCCCAGCTGAAGATTAAAAGTTGAGGCTTTTCAGTCAGATAACGAAACCAGGAATGTCTGAAGGCATGACAGCGCAATCCATAAAAACAGACTAATTTAACTTTTTAGGCCACTTAAAACATTTTTTAAAAAAAAAAGACCAGGGCAGAAAACAAGTAGTAATGCTTATTTGCATTTATTCAAATTTTATAGTCTTTTATAAGCAAACACACCCACAATGCCCACATAAACACCCACAATGCCCACATTAAACCACTTCAGTTGTTTGCATGACACTGTATAATCAAATGTGTAGAACAGTGAATGTGGCTTATCTGTAAAATATGGAGCCCTATGGTCAGGAAACAGTTGCTATAGCCCTATGGAGGAAGAGCTGCTAGTTATGGACTCTTGAGCTGACTGCTCCTGCCGCTACTACTGCTGCTGCTGCTGCCGCTGCTGTAAGAGGCTCGAGGAGAAGTGCTGGACATCAGAGGAGACGAGACGGACAGCCCCAGTCCCAGCTCCACCATCTTTACTGTGGGAGACTGCACTGCTGAGCCTCTGGGGCTGCTGCCGGCTGATGACCCTGAGGATCTAACACAGACAAGAACAATACACAATAAACATAAAGACCATTTGACAAATTCCATTCTGCTTGTACGGCATACAGAAGACGTTTATAACAGGGTTTAAGGGAGTAAGAAAAATGCATAGATGCAGTAAGATGCATCAAGACATGTTGAGCTGGAGATTCAAATGCATCAAACAAAAAATAAAAATGTATTTTAATTTTTTTAAGTCTCTAAAAAAGTATGGATTGTTTTACACAAAAAAATAAATAAAATGTATTTTTTAATTGTTTATAGCTCACTACTGTGTTAATGAGTTTGTGTATTCAGTGCACTTTTAAGAATACTTTTGAATTTTAATTTATTCGAGACTGCATGACGCACTGAATCATTTTGTAAAGAATCGTAATTAAGATGAATTGCGTGGTACAGAGATTTCTATGTGGTAGTAACTGCTTTACAAATGTGCACCGAAAAAAAGTAGAGCTGAGTAGGTGGAGATCTCTGCTGTGGAGGAATCTGTGGAGAGCTTTACCTCAGAGAGATGGAGCTGCGTGCTGAGCTTATCTTTGAACTCTGCCGACTAGATGGGGTGGAGGCAGGAGAGGGGAGGGCTAGACTCGCCTACATCGGAAGAGATACATTGATAAAAATTGACATGCACAGTAAAACTGCTGCTTCATTCTGCAATACAGTAAATTAAAAAGAGATCAAGGATCCCACGTCTATAAAGGCACACTGAGTGCGTTTCAATGCACTTAATAATCTGATAACTGCAGGAAATCAGTTTTTTGTCAGTAATCTGATCAACGCATTTACAGGCATTTGGGTAATCAGATAATGGGGAAACTCCGGGTCTGTATGAGTCAGGCAGTATTCAGATTTCTGCTTTGCAACCAGCCAATAAACTCACAGAAGAAGACGGGACATAAACATAATGTAAAACTTCATGATGCTGCTTTTTAAACACTGCGCCACTTTCATCAAGCATGTATTTGGTTTCAGCATCACTCCAAAAGTGTTTTGCTGCCGTCTTGCGGCAGCGCTGCTTGCTCCTTTCCGGCCTGTTTTCGCACATGCTCAGACTGAGAAAACCGAAAGAAATCAGAGTAAGGGTACACATGCGATACAAGAGAATAAATACGATTATTGAGCTAAAATCCAGCTCTCTTTATTGGATTTCTTAATCGGACTTTACATGCTCATTTGAATAATCAGACAATTGCAGAAATCCGATTATGATTGGATTATTGAGTACATGTAAACAAACTTACTGTTAACAAACAGTGATACGGCGGTTACACACTGAACTTGAAAAAACAACAGGAAAATGCAAAATATTCAGACGTTTTTTTGCATTAAAACTATAGATGTGACGTCGTGTTTTTCTCCGCGAAGAGTATATATATTAATAAAATGTATATTGGCAGAATATATATCAACTAAATCAAAAAAGTTCCCTTGTTCCTCACAAAATGGGCAAAAATGTGGGATGCATTCCACTTCGGAAAAGTGAGAGGAGAATGGAGAGTCTCTCCACCTCATTCAGGAGCTGAAACTTACTACAAGTGCTTTTACTCACAGATGAACTCTCAGCTGAGTCTGAGCTGATTTTGGTGATGCAGCTCCACAAAAGATGAAGCACAAAACAAACAGGTTGAATGTCTTTAAGTGCAATTAGGGTCTAATTCTTTGCTCCCAGCAGAACAGACGCTGGGCTACTGTCCATTCTGGAGAAGTGAAAGTACCATGAAGAGCTTCATCACTTCATTCAGAAGCTGAAACGTTGAGCTCTTCCACATTTAACTCAAGATGTTTGTAGCTCAGTTTGAGCTGCTTTTAGTGTTTGTGAAAAAAGTTCTGTTTGCTGAAACACAGCTGCTCCGTCATCTTGGTTGTCGCCATGCCAACAGCAAAGGCAACCATGATTGGTCAATGAGTTCAGCAAAAATCAACAGTTGCATTTTTGCCATCTGAAAAATCACGTTTGAAGTGCAAGACACTGTCAGTTATGCACATATCTGAATGAATGTACTGTCGTCTGAATAAATCACACGAACAAATCCTGTTGGGTGTGTAAGGGCCTTTAGAGTTAAGAATAGGAGCAGGACCAGGTTTAGAGTTAGAATTAAGTTTTGGTTTGAGGTTAAGAGTAGGGTTAGAGTGAGCGTTAGCTTTGGGATTTAGAGAAAAGTTGCATTTAACTGAACAGAAATTCAGCTGGTTGGAAGTGAAAACAAGGTAAGTATCTACAAAGCTTCTACAGTGGATCCTCAAAATATCGTGTTTTCCTATTTATCATCTATACAATGCACTACCTGCATGAAGTACATCTGCAACGTGGCCTGGAGGTCAGGATGCTCCTCCATGACTTCCAAAAGCATCTTATTGACAGTTTTATTCAAGTCTTTCAGATCTTTCAGCTCAATGTCCCGCTCCTCAAAGGTCTCCTCCTTGGTCTTCTTAGCTGACCGAATTTCTTTCGTGAGTCTGGAGCACTGCAGCAGAGGAACAGTGGGAATATTTCACCAAATTCAACGTATGAATGGCTTTTCAAAGCTTATCATATACAGTACTGTGCAAAAGTCAGAGACCACCCTTTATTTATTTACTTTCCAGTCAAAATGGTCAATAACTAAGTATAATATCATATTTGTGTGTTTTTTTAGTCTTCACCTTCAAACTTTTCAGGAGACTTGCTTGGTTTTTCAATGAAATCTGCAGGGTTATTTATTTTTTCACACCTCCAAAGTTCAGTCTTAGAAGTTGGTTTGGCATTTTCTACTTCTCACCATCCAAGCAATCGCACATTTAGGATGCTGCGGTCAGTCCATTGTTCTAAGAGCACCAGCAGCTTCTTTGTTTTTTATGATGTGCCTGTTTCCCTTTCTTACACTGCAAAAAATGGTATCTTGTCAAGTGAAACGATCTTTAATCTAGTCGATATATCTAATGTTTCCCATTTTGAGATGGTTGTGCACTGATTATAAGAATATTTAGCTTATTTCTAGACATTTTTACTTGTTTTAGGTAATTTTATTAAGTAAAATGACCTCACTATACTGGCAGATAATTCTGCTGGCTTCAAGCACATTTCTTACAACAAGCAAAATGATCTGCCAGTATAGTGAACTATACTAATTTTACTTAATAAAATTATTTAGAAGAGATAAAAAATGTCTAGAAGTAAGCTAAATAATCTTAAATTAAGGACAAATGTTAGATTTATTGACTATAAGATAATTTTACTTATATTATATCATCTGCTGTGAGGGCCTCTTGAACAGCTACACATCCTTTCAGACCCACAGCGCTGAGTCCTCTTCTCACAGTGGAAGGATGGACAAAAACACCTGTGGATGTTTTCAGATCTGAAGCAGCTTGATTTTCTCCTCTCTCTCAAAGATGAAAGCTGTTTATCTGATGGGGACAGTTTCCGTGTCTAGCAGGTCTTTTTACTATTTCAAATCCAGTTTTGGAAACTCTGTTAACCCTTATGCTTCCATCTAATCTCCTCAGAAATATCTCCTGAAAAATGAAGAGCCTGTACTTTTGACTGAAAATGAAATAAATGGAATAAATGGTCTGTGACTTTTGCACAGTACTGTATAATGGTGCTACTGTTGAGTCGGAGTCTGACGAGTCAAGGGAGGCTGGGGTCAGAAGCAGGTCTATAAGGGCAGAGAAGATCTAACAACATGATGATTCAGATGAGTGTGTTTAATGGCATGTGATAGGTCTATTGTCTTCAAAACAGTTTTAATCCTTTCGGAATGCCGTAACTGCATTCTGCACTGGGCGTGTGCAGTTCATGCCACAACAGAACAACTCGCTGGCGTTCAGTTTTATCTATTACATAATATTTCAACTTCAAATGAAATTTAAATGGATCATATCAGATGTTCTAAATTAAGCAATAAAACTTGTTTGTTACTTTACATACTTCTAGTGCATATTCACACATATAATGATTTTTGACTTTGTATTTGTGAAAGTATGTATTAACAAGTATAAACAAAGATATATTTAATAAAAACAAAACTGATGTGGGGCAAAATATTCAGACACCACAAATGAATAATATTAGTACTTAGTAAAGCTGTTGTTGGCTTTGAGACCTCTATGGTAAGAAGTAATTAGGTTCAATTTTGACCAATCCCTCTTGGTAAATCATCTTCAATACCCCATAAAGGATACGAGGGTCCCTCTGATGAACTTGCATTTTTCAAAATCCTCCATACCTTTTCAATGGGATTAGGCGATTGTCTAGGCCAGGCGACTGACTTCAGCCTTTTACAAGAAACTATTCTAGTTTTGAGGAAAAGTTTCCTGCTGGAGATGCAAGAAAAGCAGTTATAGCTAAACTAAAGCTTAAAGCAGAGCAGAGTAAGTCTGTGTTTTTGTTTATATTATATTTTTTAGCCTATACTAGCACATCAGCACATACTGAGACATATTTACAGCCAAGATGGTAAAATGAACATAAAATGTTATGGCTCCCAAAGTGGTTTTTGGTGAGAGGACAAAATGGTTCTTCTTAACATTTGGGTTGCCGACGCCTGATCTAGCCCATACGACTACTTCCACCTGCTTTAGAAACCAGCCTTGAGTTATTTTGGCTGTATGTTTAGGGTTGTTGTCATCTTCTTCCCTTTCTTGACCGATAAGATCGAATTCTAATCGAATATCTCCCAGGACCACATTCCACTCATGTTCCCAAGCAGCCCACATTATGATGCTCCCACCTTCATACTTCACTGCGGGTGAATGTTCACAAAGGATCCCATTTTAATTTCGTCTGACTGAGTATATTGTTCCAAAACAGAATTGTCTAAATGCTGATGTGCAAATTTAAGACGTGCATCTTTGCGCTTCTTTTTTATTTCTACTTTTGAGGAGTTTTGTGTGGGGAGGAATGGAGAAGACTGCGGCACAGTTCATTGCTAATTATTTTATGTGTGTAGAACTGTTGTTCCTGCCGCTTTCAGCTCATCCTGAAACTTTTTCCAAGTGAACTCCTTCACCTTCATCATAATTGCTACTTCCCAACATCCTTCCAGCAAATGGCAATGGCTTTTATAATGACATCAGGTCCCATTTTTATTTTCATTTTTGCAGCATTAACATGTAGAACTTATTATTTTAAACATTTACATATATGTATATTTTTAAATAATGGCTGAATACTTTTTTCCATATTAATTTTATATATTTATCTTTATAAACACTAAGTCGGAAGACATTATGTATGTAAATTCAGTAGATATATGCACTGCAAGTATATCAAGTAGCAAAAACGAAAGTGTCAACCGATAATAACACTAGTGTTCTTATCAGTTGGTTGTATTGTGGTTAAACGAGATAAAACATTACAGGCATGTTTGGTACTTGCTTTCAGTTTCCCAGCAAATAGGTTACCAATGTCTGACTGTGATAATAGTGCAGTGAGTCAGACCTGTTTGGTCACCCTGCCCAGTTTCTCTTGCTGGGAATTGAGCTCCTTGTTCAGAGAAAGAATGCATGCTTGGACGTCACCGTTTTTTTCGCTCTGTGCAGCTAACTCCTGAAGAAGGCTGTTCAGCGAGCTGCTCATGCCCTGAAAAAAAAAAAACACAGAATGTTTTGAAATGCAGATTTTAATCTGGAATTATGTGTAGTGACTGATAAAAAAGCAAGCAAAACTGGCTATGACGTGTATCTAAACTCAATTTGATATCTGACATCAACTGAAATTAAAATATTGCGTTTCAACTATTGAACTGTTTGCTTCTAGTAGTTTCTTTGATTCCGGTTTCTGATAAGTTCACTGAGGATCTTAGATGTACAAACACAGCCTCCTTCAACGTTAATGTTAATCTCTAAAGCATGGCAACAGTGTAAAGAATGTAAAGAATGTTTTTTCCTTTCCAAAGAAAACAAGACTGTGTCCGCAACCGTATCTTCTTATCAGATTCAAATCATAATAAAAGATCTCCTGTGCTTACAAACGCAAATGTGACATCAAGTGAAGGTACTGAATCTGCACTTTCAACAGAATTTGTTTAAATATTTACAACCTCAAATCAGAAAAAGTTCGGATAGTTATGTTACTTAGGTTACAGTGGTGTTTAATAGAACTTTAGGCCTTATATTTGATTATATGAACAGCATATTGTATCATGTTTTACCCCATTAATTGTATTGTTTTTTCAAAATAAACGCATTTTAATTTTGATTCCTGCAACATATTTCACAAAAGGTTGGGACAATAAAGTATTTACCAGTTTGTAATGTTGTCATTGCTTTTCACAACGTTTACAACACGTTTAGGGGCTAAAGACATCATGTGATGCAGCGTTTCAGGTCAAGTTTTGTCCCATTTTGACTGCACACAAGTTTTAAGGTGTGCAACAGTACGTGGTGTTTTGCGTTTTTAAAATGCCATTGTATTGTGTTCAAAACAGCATCCCTGACAAAAGATGTTGTCCTGAAGGCAGCATATGTTGCTCCAAACTGTATGTACTTTTTGGTAATAATGGTGCTATCACAGAAGTGTAAACTGCCTTTGCTTAGGGCACTGACACAACTCCATACCGTGACAGACCCTGGCTTTTGGACTTGTTACTGGTAACAGTCTGGATGGTCCTTTTTGTCTTTGGTCTGGAGCACACAGCATCCATTTCATCCAAAAAAAGACCTAATTCGTCTGAACCCAATACACGTTTCCTCTGTATGATGGTCCATCCCAGATGCTTCCAAGCCCAGAGAAGTCGGCGGTGTTTCTGGACATGGTTAACATAAGGTTTACTTTTGGCAGAGTGTTTTAGTTTTAACTGGCATTTGTGGATGAAACTATGCATTGTAGCGCTTGACAAATGTGGTTATATCGTTTATAAATAAATGACTGTTCTTGATGCTGAATCTTTTAATTATATGATGCACTGTCGAAGGTGAAATATCCTAATCCCTTTCCAGGCCTTTCCTGGATGCTGCTTTTGTATCAAATCATGGATACAATCACCTGCTGGTATCACCTGTTTGAAATCACGTCATTATCTTTTTATTTTACTTCATTACTAGCCCTAAATTTATTTTACAGCAGGGAAAACACAGAGCCTATATAACATCAAATTATATCATGTTGTGAATCAATTCAGTCTTTCACGAGATGCAACTGCGATGCATCTAAGAATTGATCATTTTCCCACCTCTAATGCATATGGGGCAAAACTATATAATTTTAAATGTTAGTTCAGACACATGGTACTGGAATAACATTACATTTTGCATCAGATCTCCAAATTTTAGGTGCTATGAACCGATTATGAACATACAGTCGTAGGCAAAAGTTTAAACACTCCCAGTCAAAGTACGTGTTTTAATGTTCTGTTGTTTTTCAGAGTGAAAATAAGTTAACACGTCCTCTACAGGGAACCTATATATGACATTTTGCTGCAACTTTTAATGCAAACTTTATTTATTTTCTGGGTTTAACATATTGGAAAAAGATAAAACAAAATATAATACAAAATGTGCCATGACTTTTGCACAGGCCACATTTTATGTTTTATTCTTATATTAAATTCAGCAAAAAAACTGTAATTGTGCATTGAAATGTGCAGAAGTGTGTTCTCTGAGGATGTGTTCACTTATTTCTACCTAGAAAATAAACTAAGCTCAGACAGATCAAGTGAAGGCTTAAATACAGCTGAGCATGTAATTCACTCTCTGAAAAGAAAGAAACAGCTCTTAATCCACTACAAAGAGGTGATTGACAACCTGCTACTGACCCCAATGTCTTCCTGAAGTTCCCTGATCTGCCGTCTCTTGTGTTTGTACTTCTCTTCAGCTGCTCTTTTCTGTTCATCTAACTTCATTTTCTCCTGATACTCAGGACCTACCAAAACAAGCCACAACTGTTAATGGGTTCAGCAGAGCTTACACAATTATATGCTCATCTACTGGCAGAGTTTCCAGACAAATGTTAAGCCTAGTTCTGGAATCTCCACTCTGGAATCTGGAGCTGCTTCTTGAAAACACTGGAACAAAACAGCAGCCTTTAATGATTAATTCCTTGAATAACTACAGTCAAGTAGAGAAAGACTGGGACATACTGGACTCTGTGGCCTTGCTGAAGGATTTACGGTAAGTGCCGTTCCGATTATTGACAACATGTAGCGTGTTTTCCAAGGCTTTGATCTCCTTCTCTGTTTTGCGGATCTTGGCGTCCAGCTCGTCCCCCTCACGCTGAAGCTCCTCTTTCTCTTGAGCTGCCTTTAAAAGCCAGATAAAAAACACAGTCTGAGATGTGATATGGCATAAATTTTGTTCATTTGCTGTATTTGTGCATTTATTTTTTGGGACCGTGTTGCTCTTCTACACTTTCATGGTTATTTCTGACCATACAGTATTAAAGACATCTCCAGCACTATGCCAGCAAATGGGATATGGCACTCAGTAAGCTCAATATGCATCAGCACAGTGTTAATGGAGATATTAGTCCAATAAATACAAGCAAAAACTGAAATTCTAAATATTTTATTTAAAAAATCGGTCCTATGTTTATACTGCAACAAACACAATGTGAACTGGGTGCGTTTTCATCTGTTGGGTCAAGGCAAACACATGTAAATAAAAAGAAAACAGGAAAGTCTTAGGAAAAATTGCAGCAGCTATTACTTCTGAACTCCTCTAGGGGGCAGCAGGGAGTAATGTTTGTTTGAGCTGCTGTGTCTGTCATCAGTTATGAGCTGCTAAACCATAATAGCTAAGAAACAAAAAACGTTAAACAGCCAATTTGGCCACTTTAGGCTTGTGCTTTAATAGTTGCATACAATAAACAAAAAAGACACTTCGGCCCAGTCCCATTTCTTATTATTACCCCTACCCCTCGTTTTCAAGTGTCACTTTGCCCCTTGGAACTGAGTTACAAGGGGTAGTGGTTGAAATCTTCCCTATGAAATGGGACCCTCAAATAAAAAGAACATTACTTCATTAACAGCTACCAGCGCTGCTCTGTAGGCGACACTGCCAGTCTGCAGTGACAGCAGAGGAGGGTAAAGTTCAGCTCCTCACTGCTGGGCTTTAGTTACATTTAGGGCATCATATGCCTTCAAAGAGGGGGGGGCAATTATTTATTATGGCCCACCCTTATTTCTTCAGTGGTATGAAGCTAAAGTCAGCTATTCGCCTGCAGTTCGAATATTTAAGGTAAACCATTTAAGGTGGAACGGGGAATTTAGCTAGGTACCGAGACATCAGTTATTACTTGCGATTTTTATGCTTGTTATGAAGAAAAGGATCATAATACATTGAAACAACATTAAACTAAGATAATACAGTGGTTATCGTAATTTTTTATCAGAGAAAATTCTCACATTTGTGGGTTACTTTGGTCTCTTGTTCAGCCATCTTGCCAGTTTTTCCTTTTTTCTCATAACATTATTTGGAGTGTGACTCTGAAGAACCTCTGTTTGGAGGGCCATGTAGCCCAAACACGTCGCCCTACCCTTCTATCTCAATACAACTCGGCACACCTACCCCCTAGACATGAATGCACAAAACACAGGGGTAATAGCTAAGTGGTAGGGGCAAGAAGTGAAATGGGATTGGGCCTTAAATTGTTAATCGCAATTATTCGTATGACCATTAATTATGTGCTAAATCATGATCGTAACAGGCCCACTACATACAAAATGATGGACCTAGTGATGCACCAGGCCACAGGAAAAAGCTATTGCTGCAAATTTATGTGTTGGTTTGTTGAGAGAACTAAATGGCCCACATTGACAAACTGAAGTTTGCTAGTTAGCTCAACAGCACCAACTTCACAATGAAAAAACTGCTCTTTTCTCATGTAAAAAATGGAGGAGTGATGATTGGACTCCAAAGCATGCAGTCATTTCAAACACACTTATTTGTGACTAATATTAAAGATCATCTACCTTTATAATGTAATAGGCCTGTGATTTGTCTTCCTCTCCTTCTGGCGCAGCCATTGCGATGGTCATGATCTCATATCTCTTCCTCATCTTGTCGATTTTGGACAGTCGTTCATGCACCTCAGCACTGTGAAGAGATCATTACCAACCATTGAGCACTCTGAACATCTGGACTACGTCTCCCTGGACAAAAGAATTTAGTCGCATGCATAATTTCACGTTTCTCTAAAACTTGGTTATGCCTTCAATTCAACTGTCGAAGCAGAACACAACACTGACATTCCACAATCCAGGATGACAACTGTAGGGTGTCTGTATGCAACCGGTTGAACAGACATGATTGGACAGTGCGACTGACCAACAAAATCATCAGACCTCAATCCCAATTCTCAGTTTGGAACAGCAGGTGAAATGCTAAAAGTAGGGATGGTTATTGTTAGGATTTTATCGATACTAATATCGATACTGATGCTTATCAATACTTTTATTATAACTTTTTTTATTATTATATGCATATTTTTTATTATATTATTTTATTATTACTATATGCGTATACTACTCTCCATAATTTGGTGCAAAAAAAACATAAAAAGATGTGAAAAGGCTGTGGTCATCTCTCTTCGGCTGAAAATATTAACAACCATAAGCAAAACAAACTTATTTACCATTGGCTGTCAGTTCAAACTTAGGCTACCTAGCAGTTAGCCATGCTAGCTATGGTCTACCGAATATTACTTCAGTACAGACTCAGCTTAATATTACTACCTTCCCCCCGATGAGCTGATTCAGGCTATTAAAATATCCTAATTATTCTTTTAATGCTGGTAACATTTTCTGATAAGGACATTAAGACTATCAAACTACCCTACTATCCTAGTTTTAAAGCAAAGCTGAAGTCAGCTTCCTATTCGAATGGGAAAATCTGGACAAGAGGCTGGCGAATAGGAAGCTGACTTCAGCTTCATAGTTTTAATTCTGATAGCATTTTCTGGTCAGGTGATTTAAGCTATCAAAATATCCTACCTAGAGTTTTATATACCGAAGTACCTTTCATCTTTTCATTCAGTACTTTGGTGTACACACTAGTGTTTGTGATGCCATCTATTAAAGTCACCTGAACTCATATAGCCCCAAATGAACATACTACCTCCACCATGTTTCACAGTTGGCACTTTGCCTTTTCCTTCTTTGTAAGGTTTTACTGTCTGAATTCGTACTCTGGTTTTGTCTGGCAAACAAACGAAAAGCCAAACAGCCATGAATACTTTAATCAAAGGGTGTAATAGGGCTTAAATAATTGGGCTTAATAGGAAACCACATCCTAGCTGTACTCACTTTTTGGTTCGATGACTTTCCACAGTGGAGTATGTAATTTCAATATTGTCTCTCTAACCACATCATTTTTAGTTATACGTAAGAACAACTATCCTGTTTTTCAATTTAACAGTATGTAGTCATTTTAATAAATACTGTTATAAGTCATTTGACATTTAGTGCTACTGAACAGGGATGTACTCACTTTTGTGGTTTTGTCCAACACCCTCCACTTGCAGCATCAGACATTTCCATTTGTTATTTTCACATTACATGCTTGAAATTATACAGAGTGATTCAAACAGATTCATCTGATTTCAAAGCGCCATATTCTTACAACCGAGGCGCCTAGGAACCAATCACAATCCAATTGAAAGAGGGGGTGCAACGTGATTTTCATCGGCAGTGAACCTCCAACAGCTCAGAGCGTTCGTTCTTGGTTCCACAACACTGGATGATCTCCGGAATCGCATTGAAAGAGCCGTGAGTGCAGCGACACCCGACATGCTCAATCAAGTATGGGATGAGTTTGACTATGGCGTTGATGTTGTCCGTACAGCTGGAGGAGGTTCATATTGAGACCTTGTAAAATTACATAATAACTTTATGCTCATTTAAACCATTTACAGTTTACTGCATTGTTCTGTAATGATTTACAAGTGAAATAAAGAAATCGGATGAATCTTTTTGAATCACCCCGTAAATCTTTTGTTTTTCTATGTAAGTCCAGAATACAGAACATTTTGAGAACAAAGCATAATCACAGAAGTGATAATGCACTGGTAAGGAATATCCCTGCTCACTTCAGAACCAAAACAAAACACAGCTCTGATCTACACAGGTCCAGGCCTGCCATCTGTCACTCTGCCTCACCTGAGTCCTTGTCTCTCCTGATCGGTGACTTTTGAGCTGCTTGGTGAGCGTTTCCTTGTGCACGCGGATCTCCTCCTGCCGCTCCTTCATGGCCGCCTGTAGCTGCAGCCGCCTCTTCTCCAGAGAGAGAACGCCGCCCGCCTTGTTGTACAGCAGGTCCCGTAGCCGCTTCACCTCCAGCCTCAGGATGTTATCTTCCACCATATTGTCCTAATGCAGGGAAATGGTTGCAATGGGCTTTATTTCAGAAGAGCTGGATGTTGAGCTGCTTTTTCTGGCTTTGCTAAACCATCCACAACTGATGTGGTCTTAAGAAAAGTTCAGAGGACGTACTGTCGGGGTTACGGGGGAACTAAACTGAACTAAACTATTTATATATTTAAATAAAGACTATTTATATAAACACTGCTATTTATAAAAATGGACAGAATGGACAGCAACAGGAAAGAGCGAAGCACAACCTAAGTACTTTGTTTTTTTGCTAGATTAGTTAGATTAGTTGTGTTTAATCCAAGCAATCTACACACCTCTGCGGCAAATGTAAACCATTTGTAAATAATTCAACAGGAAGTGAAATAAGTACAAACATTACAGTGGCAGTGTTAATAAGGGACAGCGGGACACAAACTAACACATAACGTAGCTAAACGGTCTCAATTTGATGTCAATTTGGTCATATTCCTAAAATCCCATAGTAACGTCATCTGGGAATTTCCACAGCAGTCGGTGAGATTTCTGAAAATCTATCATGAAGACTGTTTCAATGCCATATAACTAACTTACTTACTGCAAGTGTTTTTTTTTTTATTACTGAGTTTCGTATCTAAGTCACAGAATTCACACCTATTATTTTACTCACTCTCTCGGTGGCTGTAATGTAGCACCATTTTGAAGCATGTAAACAATTAAAAGTGAGAGCTAGCCAGGCTAAAGTTCAGCCTCCACATGGCAGGGTTAGTTTTTCTGTAGAGGGATATGGATTCTCTCATTATTTAATTTGAGAGGTTTAGCTGTAAGACTTTACATTACATTAAAACTGCCTCCACCATGCGGAGGCTGTACTTTAGCCTGACTGGCTCTCACAGTGTGAAGCCAAGTCAAGTTTATTTATATAGTGCTTCTTACAACAGATGTTATCACAAAGCAGCTTCACAGCATATCCGGGCCCAGGCCCTGGTCCGCATCACCAAAGGTGACAGTGGCAATAAACCTTCCTAAGAGCAAGGGGAAGAAACCTTAGGACAAACCAAGAGCGGAACCTATCCTTCTCTAGTCAACACTGGATAGCAAAACAAACAGACAAGACAAGAGCAACATGAACAGAGGACAGGAATTATCAATGAATATTCAACATTGAATATAGAGAAAAAGAAAAAAGAAACCAGAAGTATTAAGTATTAATAGAGAGGTATTAAGATTAACCAATGACAACTGATGACTACAGTTTGTGGCCTATCATAGTAATACTGAGAAAGAGATCTATGAAAATCAGTCACTGTTATGAGTGAAGACCACCTCTGCTATATTACAGACACCATGAGAATGATTAAAACAATCTAGGTGTAAATTCCGATGTGAGTTACAGCAGCAGTTGAGGTGAGGATACAAGGTGATCAAAAACAGGTTCTATTCGAACCTGTTCAGCTACATAAAATATTCCTGGTATAATTTACCCTACAGCAAAACGTCATGAGCTTTCTGGAAAAAAAAAAAAAATGCTGACTGGTTTCAATCAAAGCAAAGAGCATATTGGTGGAAGATGGCTGCAAATAATGTGGACGAAAATGTGTAACTGAGGCTGAGCAAACGTCTAAACAGTCAAGTGGAAGTTAAGCTTTCAGTTGTCAGTCTCATAAATATTAATGTTCTTCTCAACAGCAGGCTGCATCATGACAGGTCATGCATGAAAGCTGAGGCTTCCGGGAATTTAATGACCAGCATTCGTCCCATGAAATCTAAAGTGTCTGGGACACGTATGGGAATTTCCTAATCTTGTGTGTGCAGCTCCAAAAACACCCCAAATATGCATTGTCTGTGAGATTTACATGGCTGATCATGCGCGAAGGTGTCTGGACATTTCTGTAAGTTTATTTTGACCTAAAAATACTTACACAAAACTGTGATTTATTAACGGGACGTTCCGTTAATTCCAATAACAATTCATATTTCTATTACACCACTGTTTTGAAACAACACGCACAAGCTTACTCTCAAATAAAATGAAATCATTGTGTTTGAAAATAATTAAGCAACATATTATTTAGGTTAACCTTTATTAACCCCACAACGGGGAAATTCACCTCCACATTTAACCCATCCGTGCGGTGAAACACCCACATACACACTAGTGAACACACACACACACACACACACACACACACACTAGGGGGCAGTGAGCACACTTGCCCGGAGCGGTGGGCAGCCCTATCCACAGCGCCCGGGGAGCAGCTGGGGGTTAGATGCCTTGTTCAAGGGCACTTCAGTCATGTACTGTCAGCTCAGGGGATCGAACTGACAACCTTCTTGCCACAAGGCTGGTTCCCCACCCTCCAGCCCATGACTGCAAAATTATTATATTATGTATGGACGAAAATCTGTTTGGAATAGTTCAAAATGATAGATCTTTTAATATTCCTTCCATTTTTCTGTGAAAGATTTCTATTTATGGAACCTTAAACCCATGATCACTAAGACCAGGGAAAGTCCCCAACATTTTCTACAAAGAACCACTTCCCTCTCAAAATTAACCATGAATAAGTTCTGGTATTTGGATGTGGGTTTGATATAGATAACATATAGATTATGTCACTATATTTTACAAAGTCTGCATGTGTTGGGCAGTGGTGTATAAACTGCTTACCTGCAGAATATGTGCTAAAACCTTCATTACACTTCATCACACTGAAAGCTACCAGAACAGCTAGGGCGATTAAAAAGGCACTTTATGAATGACTAGTTGAGATGGATTTTGGACAGATTGAAGACATTTTAGTAAATGCCTCAAGTGAAATTGTACCATTGAAATCAGACCATTTATATGAAAGGTTATTTGTGCTTTGTTAATGGGCATGTTAGGTTTCCACATTGCGTTAAATCTTACATGTATTTTCGTACATTTTAAATAGCGTCTTTATTGTCAGTTCTGGATATTAAATTAAAGTGTGTTCCTTTTTCAAATAAGCCATGTTAGTCATTTAATATGGTATTTGTTGGTCACTTTTAGTTTCAGATTAACTTTGAAATGAAATGAAGGTTTCAGGCGAGGAAAAAGGGAGTATTACTTTAATTAAAACATTATTTCATGCTATTATTATTATTCTTATTGTTCTTACTATTATTATTATCATCAGCTCATAGATCACATTAAAGTCCTAAATATGAGCTTTGATTGACACTAAATTATAACGAGATAATCAGTAACTTTAATGATGTAGCTACTATTAGACATTATAATAGTTAATATAGATTCAGTGGTCGACGAGGAGAAGTATTTTGGTTATAAATGAACAGAGAATAAAGTTTTAAGCAGCAAAAGAACGAGCAATGAATGACATTCTCAGGGGGTTCTTGAGGTGAGTGGGAGTGTCTTGCTGTCCGTAAATTCCAGTGTCTGAAAAATAGTTTTTTCCGAGCATGCCTGGCAACGTACTGAAGCTGTGGCACCTGCTAAATGTGGCCTACATGTCCATAAACTGAGCATTTCGGGTCATTTCTGGCGCTTCGTGAAGTGATACAGAAAGTAAAAGTGTTGATCTACACTCAAGTTAAAATCTGAAAAGCGAACATAGTTGTGTCACCTGTTTCTTAAGTCGCAGTTTCTTCAGCTCTTTGTCAGAAGTGTCATTGAAAAGATGCAGTTCTTCGATCTTGGTGGTCAGGTCTCTTTCTTCTGCTCCTGTCTTCTCTGTCTCTTTTCTCAGACAGCGGATATCATCCTGAAAATATGCATTCGATATTGTAAAGAGCAAAAAAGCTGCGTTCTCATACATTTAAACAAACATATCAAGCTATAAATTCTTTAATTTAGACTTTCTGGTCAAGTAATAGAGAATTCCTCTTTATAATCTGCAGTTATGAAAATGGTCCAATAGAATCTACAGTGATAAACAGCTGCACATAAACTTTTCTTACTAGTCATCTGATACAGTGGCTTAGGAACATTGTTTGAGGTTTAACCTTTTCAAAAAAGCACCTGAGGGTGATTCTTCTATAAGAGGAACTTTCGTACCTCCTGGGTAGGTTTTCAAAGAATCTGAAACGGTTCCTGTTATTATAAAGGTGTACACCATATAGCCAAAAGTTACTACTTAGTAAGTTACTACTTAATAAGTTCAGGTGTTTCAGCCACACCTATTGCTAACAGGTAGAGAAAATCAAGCACAAAGCCTTGCAGTCTCAATAGACGCTGGCAGTAGAATGTATTGAACTGAAGAGCTCACTTACTTTAAACATGCCGCTGTCATAGGACACCACCTTTTGAAATTTCTGTCCTGCTAGATCTGCCCTAGACAACTGTAAGTGCTATTACTGTGAAATGGAAGCGTCTAACAACGAAGTGGTAGACCATGTAAACACACAGAGTGATGAAGCGCACAGTGCCTGTCCTCTGTTTCATCACTCAGAGTTCCAAACTACCTCTGGAAGCAACATCAGCAAAAATGTGCATTGGGAGCTTCACAAAATGGGTTTCCACGGCTGACCAGCTGCACAAAAACCTAACAGTGAAGTTTGGTTGAGGAAGGATGATGGGCTGGGGCTGTTTTTCTGGGTTTGGGCCCCTTAGTTCCAGTGAAGGGTGATGTGAATGCTACAGCATACAAAGATATTTTATATGCTTCCAACTTTGTGGCAATTATTTGGGGAAGGCCCTTTCGTGTTCCAGCATAACCGAGCCCCTGTGCACAAAGCGAGGTCTATAAAGACACGGTTTGATGAGTATTGTGTGGAGGAACTCCAGTGGCCTGCACAGAGCCCTGACCTCAACCCCACTAAACAAATTGGACGTTGATTGTGAGCCAGGCCTTGTTGTCCAACATCAGTGCCTGACCACACGAATGCTCTTTTGACTGAATGGGCAAGAATTCCTCCAAAATGTTGTGGAAAGCTTCCCAGATGGGTGGAGGCTGTTATAGCTGCACAGGGGGAGGCAACTGCCTATTAAACCTCATGATTTGGGAATGATACTTAAACTAGAGTATAATAACATAACTGAATACTGGTTAACACTGACGTATATGAAGTCTACAGCCCAACTGAAGAATCACTTTTAAATTAAATTTAAAGAGCAGTGAATCCCAAGCCTACACTACTGCTCTCAGTTCAGTGCTGTGAGAAATGATTATAGTATAGACTCCCAACTTGGTGCTCAGCATCACTGTACAACAGACACTGTTACCAGTTTCTGTCTTTTTAGCTTTGTTGGCCTCACCTGGAGCTTTTTGAGCTGTGAGGTGAGCATGCTAGCCGTCTTCTTCTTCTCCTCCAGAGCCTTGCTGAGCTCAGAGGTTCTCTTTTCCAGAACCTGCTTCTCTTCCGTGTTCACCTCACCCCTCAGACGAGCCATTTTCCTCTCCAGCAGCTGGATCTGGAAGTCCTGAGGAGAAGAAAGAAGAACACAGATGCAAAACTTAGAAGAGGATGCTAGCAAATCATAGGTCACTTCTGAATCACAGTGACCAGAGCCAGCACAGTACTGCTTTTTAATTAATGCTGGGTCTTGAAAGAAAAGGGTAATTGGAATAAAAATTGAATAGAATGTGAGATAAATGATGGTATATGAGGACAGCTACAGTCATTGACATCTCTACAGGTTTGGTAAATATCCAGCTGTCAGCAGAGGTGGACGATATGGCAAAATGTAATAATATGTTGCTTGACGTTTTTTTACAACTCATGATATGTCATGATATTTGTTTTTTTGTGGCATCTCATAAGTTAGAACAGACAAAGCAGTGCCACGTTTTAAAAATACTACCAAAAACTATTAATCCATTTACTTGTATTCAACACTGCACACACTGTGCCGCACTAAATCCAATCAAACAAGACTGATTATGCTCTCTTTTTAATGACTTGCAGTTAAAGTGCTGACTACATCCATGATATGCTCAGAAGAACCTATTGTGACATATTGTGATGTAATGTTATCATGATAACGGTAAATACCGTCATATCGTCCAGCTCTAGCTCTCAGTCTGGTCTCAAAGAACTGGCATGGCATAAGTGGCATCCTGTAAACCCCAAATAAAGAAATACACTATTTGGGCAAAGGTATTGGGACACACTTCTTAATCACTGAATTCAGGTGTTTCATTCAGTCCTGTTGCCACAGGTGTATAAAATCAAGCACCTAGCCATGCAGCCTGCCTTTACAAACAATTGTGAAAGAATGGGTCACTCTGAAGAGCTCAGTGAATTCAAGCGTGGTGCTGTAATAGGAAGCCACCGTTGCAACAAGTCGTTTTGTGAAATGTCTTCCCTCCTAGATGTTCCATGATCAACTGTGAGAGGTATTATTGAAAAGTGGAAGCGTTTAGGAACCACAGCAACTCAGCCACGAAGTGTCAGACCACGTAAAGTTACAGAGCGGGTCGCTGAGTGTTGAGGAGCATAGCGCATAAAAGTTGAGTTCAAACCTCCTCTGACATTAACATCAACACAAAAACTGTGCACTGGGAGCTTCATGGCATGGGTTTCCAAGGCCAAGCAGCTGCATGAAAGCCGTACATCACCAAGCACCATGCCAAGCGTCAGACTGAGTGGTGTAAAGCGCCGCCGCTGGACTCTGGAGCAGTGGAAACGAATTCTGTAGAGTGATGAATCACACTTCTCTGTCTGTCAGTCTGATTGACGAGTCTGGGTTTGGCGAATGCCAGGAGAACGTTACCTGCCTGACTGCATTGTGCCAGCTGTAAAGTTTGGTGGAGGAGGGATGATGCTATGGGGTTGTTTTTTAGGGGTTGGTTTAGGCCCCTTAGTTCCGGTGAAGGGAAATCTTAATCTAAACTAACGACATGCCATACAGAGTCACAAAGCACTTAAGCATGTCTATTTGAGATTACTTAACAACTCGAAGCTGTTTGAGACAAGCATGTGATAATTTAAGCATGCAGTTTATTAGCATGTAGTGCTAACTTGTAGGGCCCATTATTTGTCCGCTTCATTAGCTTATTAGCTTCAGCGCAAAGCTAAAGAAGCAGCACCTAAGTCAAAGTCAAAGACTTGGCTGATTGACTACATTTTACTGCGGTCAGTATGGACATTTGGAGGGGTCCCGCTCTCTTACCTGATTGTAGATGATCTCTTGTTGTTTGAGAGCGTGTTGGTCCAGTTTGCTGAGACGACTGTCCAGGTTGGAGAGAGCGGCCCGGCTGCCTGAGAGCTCCGCCGTGGCGCTCTTCTCTTTCGCTCTCAGGGTCTGGAGCTCCTGGCTCTTCCGGAACAGGAGCTCACGCTGCCGCTGCAGCTGGGTATCGATCTCCTGCACATGCAGACACACACAGCTCACATCTCAGCTCAGCTCAGCAACCACTGATTAACCCTTACAAAGGTTGTAAGAGTGTTATTGGTTAGTTCAAACACAACATTTTAAATTTGATTTGATACGACACAAACAAGGTGTGCTTGAATAAGTGTCATGTGGTCGTATGCTAATGTTAATATGTTACCGTTTGCACCCTGCGCACAGCTTAAATGCATGCAGTTACACAATAGGGGTGTAAAGATGCACACATCTTCAGGTTTGATAATGAGTTTCAATTCAGAGGCCTAAATTCATTCGATTTTCAATATTCTGTGTGTTAAAAGTGTCTTTCACTGCCCTTAAAAAATAAACCCAAAATGTAACAACCCCTAGAACGGTTTTGTGATTTAAGTTCAGCGCAGACCTTTGAGTGTGAGTGTGTGCAGGAACGCAGGAAGGTGTTTTAAGATGGGGGCGCTGAAATTTTAAGCAGCATATACGTGACATAAAAAAACGATGTCATGCAAACTGATTTACCTTTTTCTATTTCATCTCTTTCACAATTCACACCAAACAGAACATGTCATAAGGTGTTATTACAAGGTAAGAGATGACAATACACACATATATACACTTTGTTAGGAACACCTGCGTGTATCTACACTCATTTTCTATTTTATCAACTCCACTGACCATATTGGTGCACTTTATAGCTCTGCAGTTACAGACTGTCTCCATCTGTTTCTCTGCATACTTTGTTAACCTGTTCTTCAGTGGTCAGGACCCCCCCAGGACCCCCACAGAGCAGGTACTATTTGGGTGGTGGATCATTCTCAGCACTGCAGCATTCTCAGCTCGGTGAGTGTATAAATACACATAGGGACACAACAGACCGCTGATACAGATCCTCACTCTGCTCTCTCATTCTGGACAAGCTTTATGCAAATGAACTGAGGACCAACCAACCAGATTGTTTATATGTGATGCATTAACTGATTTTGTCATGCCCACCGTCATGGTATGAGACTTAACACCGGAAGGTGCACTGAGCCAGACATATACATACATACATCATCTAAGCCACTTAACCTTCTGGGTCACGGTGGGGTGCTGGAGCCTATCCCAGCTGTCACTGGGCAGAAGGCAGACCCTGGACAGGTCGCCAGTCCATCGCAGGGCAGACAGACAAACAATCACACACACATTCACACCTAGGAGCAATTCAGCATGTCCAATTAGCTTAACTACATGTTTTTGGACTGTGGGAGGAAACCCACACAGACACGGGGAGAACAGGCAAACTCCACACAGAAATGACCCTGGTCACCCAGCCGGGAATCGAACCCAGGCCATTCTCGCTGTGAGGCAACAGCGCTACCCACTGCGCCGCCGTGCTGCCCGCCAGAGATATAACAGTTCATAAAAACGTCATTATGTTATTATATGTTATCAAGTTTAAAAGCAATATACACACTATAATAATAGGCTGCTACGAAGCTTAGAACTGGCCTATAACCCTAATTTCCCTCTTTGCACCCCAACCTGCTTGTGTTAGAGATGTGCTCCAAAGCGGTCAGCAGTAGTTGAGGGAAGCAATTCGGCTCACTGTAATGAACATAGGCGTTACTGCAGGTTTTGAAAATGCCCCTGGTTTTGAGTGTGTGTGAATGTATATGTCTGTCTGTCTGCCCTGCAGACCTGTTCAGGGTGTTTCCTGCCTTATGCCCAGTGAGCGGTGGAATAGGCTGCAGCTCCCCCCGCGACCCAGAAGGATAAGGGCTTAGAAAATGTGTGTGTGTGTGTGTGTGTGTGTGTGTGAATTCAAATTAAAAAACATAAACTCCACTCCAAAACAAGCTCACATGGGTCTTTACTACACTTTCATTTTCATGAAGTCCAGAACTTTTTATTATTATTATTATTATTGTTATTATTATTATTTTTCGCAGTTACAATCCTAAAATCTGGAGGTCTGCAGTACCCTCAGTACCCCCCACTTACCTTCCCCTCCTTGCCCATTTTACTAATACAGGGGTGTGATTTTGGGTGTTTTCTCACACTCTCACATCGTGCAAAGAAATCTCAAGCCTACCAACCATCACCCTCAGAACAAGTTTGCATCGTGACTATTTCATGCTCTTTCGGCCTGCAGCGTTTGCCTTAAGCAGACTCTCTCAGGTGAGAACCTTCGATGCTTTGCCATACGGAGTGCCTCCCCCTTTAGCTGGCTGAATGAAGTGACACTCACTTTGATGTGTAGCTCCTGGTCACGGAGCATCTGCTCCATCTGTTCTGCTCTCTCCTCCACGCTGAGCGCTGCCTCTGTGGCCACCTGAAGCTTCTCCTCCAGAGCAACGTTCTGCAGCTGGGCCTCCTCCAACCTGTGAGACCGAACACAAACTGCTGGTGAGTTTATCCTCCACAAATCCTGAAATAATGGAGATGATAAGCTATGCAAGATCATATGGGAGGTTTTAAAGGAATTGTCTCATGAGGGCCAATTATGTGAGCAAGGCCAATAATCTTGGACTCCTGGTCACGGATTACTGTGGCACCACCAGGGACGGAACTCAAGATCTCCTGATGATAAAGCCAATGCTTAGATGGTAACACTTAGAGCCCTTAACTCTCCTATTTGAATTTATCAAGTCATCAAATGTGGGTCTAGAACTGAGAACCACTGGTCAACTTAAAATATATAAATAAAAAAAACATTAGTAAGGACCTTGTTCTTATGAAACATGTTATGGGGCATTACTTGGTGGTTTTGTCGTTGATCTCCTTCTTCATGCTGGTTAAGTTAGACCTCAGAGATTCCACATCTGTGGCAGCGCGATCCACTGTGCCCTTCAGAGTCTCCAGCTGTGGAAGAGCAACAGCTTCACATTAATGCCAATGCCTCCATATCACTCACAGAGAGAAACATTTAGGTCTTAGGTTACGTTCGCACTAGAGGCTTGAAGTAAAACAAGTCCTATGTTACTATGGTGATTGTAGCCCTCTCGTTTAAATATAGCTTTAATATCTTTTCACTGGGGCCTTCAGAACCTCCTTAGCTGACTACACTGGACAGTGCCGTCTCCATAATCTACGGACTAATAAACAAGCAGCAAACTAACAAAAGCAACAGTAAAGTGGAGCTTCAGATTCCTCTCAAGAGCCTCCACTGTAACAAGAATTCACAACCTATACGAACAAGAACGGGAGTTGAACCAAATCACATGATTTTCATGTTTAGGTTGATATGAATTCTGCATTCACACCATATTACTGCATTATAAGAAGTAAGAATGTGAGTTGTCAAGGCAAAAAGATAAGATCTGAGCAAAAACGCACAGAATTGAGCAACAAGCTTTGTCATGTCAACAAAGTGCCTTCAGTGCAACTGTGTAACACTCACCTCATCCTGCAGGCGCATGCGGTTGCTCTCCTGCTCCTGAAGCTGCTGCCGGAGCCTGGCGGCCTGTCGCTCTGCAACTGCAATCTTCTTCTCGCACTCTTTATTGTTCTCCACCTCGCTGGCCAGGAAGTTCTTCTTCTCCTTAATCAGCGCCTCTCGCTCACGGGTCATCTGGTTCACCTCAGCAAGCATCTAGTAGAGACAAGGAAGTTGACATTACACAACTTACAGCAGTGGGGTCTTCTAGGCCTTCAGAGGAGACCTAACGATTTCCAGGAATTAAAATCTGTAGTTTTTATTTATTTTTTAATAGGATGCTTGTTGTATTTAAACTCTGCGAGTATTACAGCACTTCTCTTACTCTATTGTTAAGTCTTGGTTGGAAAAACAAAAGGGTTCAAATCTTGAAGCGGCCAATGAAAAATTATCCAACCAGATTTTTCCGCATGGCATATAGACAGATACAGCCAGGCTAGAGCTCCCATTGGTTAGGCCTTCAGGAGCCGAACTGAAGGCCTCACGTGACAGATTCGCTACCAATATAATTAGGAATGGACAGTGGAAGCAACCAATCAAGCTCTGATTTATAATAGGTGGAACCAACTCAAGAGCAAAACATCACTCTAGTCCTTCTGGAAGTTCTAGATACATTCTAGATGAGTGGTAGCCTGACCAGTGCGTTTCAGTCAAGGGGGAAAACTGAGGCTGTGAAACTGCTACAAGGTGAAATATATAGTAATATCTGTTTCAAGCCTCAAATAAATTGAGACAGAATTGTTCACAGAGGTGGTGTTAGGAACCAGACTGCTAAGAGCTGCCTCAGAGAAAGTTATTACATGAAATATTGCGAATATGCTGCCTGATACGCTGTTTTACTTCTTTTTAAGCACATTTTTGAAATCCATTTATGGTGGAGGGATGGTGGACGCTGCTGTTATGCAAATTAGTACTCAAAGAAAACTTACTACTATTTTACCATCATCAGCCATTACACACAAAAGCTAAGAAAGCAAGTGTAGACTCACTGGTCATTTTGGATAGTAAATGAAATATTTGTGTTGTAGCCATGGTGACCCCTGGTTCCTATCACCACCACTGCAAAGAACTCTGAGCCTGTGAGTTTCTCTGAAATAACCCATTTCACACCAAACCACTCTGAATGACTTTACATGTCAATGTTTAAATTATGCAGACATTTAGAAAAATCAGAGGAAATTATTAAGTATTGAATCACAATTCTGTATTGACAGGTTTGAGTCTGCACTTTCATTTCAATGTCAAAAAATTGACAAAAACATGATAAAAGTGTAAAAGATTTTTACATAACTTTTACATAATAACTTCTCATCTAACTTGGATCATAATAAAATATCTTGTCTCCTACTTACAAACACTCTTCAAAACTATATGAGTGAAAAATAATGAATATAAAATTACAATATGCTTTTATTATTGCCAGTGATAACAGAGACATCTACAGATGTCCATGGTGGACAAAAATGGTGCTTTGAGGGAACCAAATGTTACATAGTCAGTCCGATGTGCTTTCAGCCCAAATATTACATGGTCAGCCCGATGTGCTTTCAGCCCAAATGTTACAAAGTCAGTCCGATGTGCTTCCAGCCCAAATGTTACATAGTCAGCCCGATGTGCTTTCAGCCCAAATGTTACATAGTCAGTCCGATGTGCTTCCAGCCCAAATGTTACATAGTCAGCCCGATGTGCTTTCAGCCCTACTTCACTAGTGCCTTCAAAGTACATGCGAGGTCCACTGCCTGGCTCTGAACAAAAGCACCATCTACTGGTCAGACAGCTGGGCTGCTTTATGGTGCTGCTTTTTCATGCAGTCTGGGCAAATGTTACAGTGGCTTACAAAATACACCTCTGAACCAAAACTAACCGTAACCATTTTAGAGCAGTGTTATTACAGTTAGCTAAAACTATTACTAAACGAAAACTAGCAGTGAAAAATGTGCTCCTTAACTGTAACAATAAAAAAGTCAGTTTTCAAAAACACAAAGACTAAACAGTTTATGCTGTTTTGACATGTGCATGTGTTTTATCACCTCTTCACAAGCTCTGAATTGGTAATTATATAATGGATAGTTTGGGTTTCAAAACATGCTTGAGGCACGTTTTATAATGAAATCATTATAAAGTACTCGACACAATTAACTGCATACAGAAACGATATAATTAAGGTGCCGAGGTTTCTCCGTTCTGTAAAAACAGTAAGACACTTGAGGCTGTTAGAGGGATTTCGTCCTGCTTTGCGTTGTGCGAAACTACATTAACTCAGGGAGTCTCGTGGCTTATTAGTCTAAAATCAGAAGACAGTTAATACAAGACTTAAACAATGAGCCCAGACAGAACAGAGAACAGCATAACTCAGAAACTTCACAGCTACTGTACGTCATAAAATCTGCCCAATCAGCTTGTTTACATGTTGTGGTTCAGTGTTAAATATGTCAGTGTGGATGCTAAGCAAACCAGAACTAAAATGCAAAAATGCATCATTTTCTGCTTTGGCCTGGACCAAAGAAACCGAACTACAAGTACCAGCGCATCCTAACATTGACACAAGCAACCCAAACTCACCTCAGCTGCCTAGAGATGCTTAACGTACATGTAATCAAAGTGATAAAGATAAACCACACTTGACTTCTGCTTCTTTATGACTGAATGGTTTGTCATTTTGAAATGAGCGTAGAAACAAGGAGGTGGTCATAATGTTATGCCTGATCGGTGTATGTGGACAGTATAGCGCTGATGTGCTGCTAGAAGAGAAAAGCGTTCTCACCAGCTGTGAACCGAACCAGGGTTCACTTAATATCAGCTGAGACTTTAGATTTTTGCCGGACGGTTCATTTGTTCAGTAAGCACCGAAGTAAGAGTGCAGTGTTCACCCACTGCATTAAACAAGGTAGGTGTGAAAATGCCCTAAAAAACAAAAAACGATGATGCTTAAATACAGTTGCTGGTTACCAAAGCGCACTGCTGCATCTCCTGGTCTCTCCTCCTCATCTGCTCGATGGTGTTCTCCCACTGGCGGATCAGCTCCTGCCTCTCCATGTGAGCCTGCCGGAATGTCTCTGCAGTCTTATCCAGGCCGATCTGAGCTCGGAGCACAAACAGAGTGAGATGTTTACAATAGAACAGCCGTTTTACAATCTCTCCTGAGTCGTCTATTTGAACATAACCCTTAGCCCCACCCTCGCACATGTACAGTTATAGACTGTAGCTCATCTGTTGCCGCATAGTTTGTGCTAGCCATCCTGCAGCCATTCATCAAAGGTCCGTTTCTGACCACAGAGCTGCTCTTGTCTGGATATTTATAAGTGGTGATCTGATACTGACAGGTAAAAAGCCCACAACACCACACACACTACCATGTTAGTGTCACTGTTGTGCTGAGAATGATGCACTGCCCAAATAATACCTGGACAAGCCCTGTGGTCAAAAATGGGCCAAAGGGGTACAGGGGGGGCATGATAAACCGTGTAGCAAAAATGGGCTACAGTCTGCATGCCTGTTTAACTGACCTGTGCTGTGATGGTCTCTGTCAGCTCGTTGTCCAAGGCCTTCCTCTTCCGGTTGGCCTCCAGAGTCAATTTCTCAATGCTCAGAGTCAGTTCCTGTGTGGTATATGCAGAAGTCAGCAGTAATGCTACGGTAGCTCATTTCTACAACACAAGAAAAAGTTCACGGGACATAAATGAGAGGGATGGATCATTTCCAGCTGATCTAGGAGGTCAGATCAATGTCTCAGATTCAGCTTTACGTACAGTTCATAATGAGACTTTTCCACGTCTGAAGAAAGGACAAACACCATCCAACTGATCCTAATAACTGCATCATAAGATGAATCAAAAATGTAATTTGAACTATTTTTACTCACAGTACTTTAACTGTTTTTTAGACTAAGGCAGAGAAAAAGCAAATCTACATCGTTCACAGTTGATTGACAGACCATTTTTTGGTATAAATACTTACCTTTGTACCTCTTTATAAAGTGGCACTAACCACTGTGATAGGACGGTGCACTGAGCCTAAAGGTCCTGTGTTCAAAGGAGTTTAAAGGTGTTTACAGCAGCATTTGGGCAAAAAGTGTTCCCCAAACCTCAAATGTAGTTATTCAGCCAAGACCCAGTACTGTACAAAAGTGAGAACACCCTTCATTAATTTATTTTCCAGTCAAAATTGCTTTTAAATACAAGTTACTCATTTATGCAACTTACTTCTGAAAAGAATATAAACTGAAATAAAGGTAAAGAGTGGACACACTAATTACTGAAAAAAGTTGTATTTTCTGTTATTTTTCTCATTAAAATATGTTTTCTTCCTCTTTTGCTAAAAAATGAATAGCTTGTACTTAATGGCTGTTTTGACTGGAAATTAAATAAATTATAGATAGATAGATAGACAGATAGATCTAAAAGGAAAAGTTGTCTATTACAGCAGTAAAGAGTAAAACAAGAGCAAAAGTATTGCGCTATTATACAGATGCGCAAATAAAAGAGGTAAAGATATATAATAAAATATACTAAAACAACCATAAAATATAATGTGCAGTACAAAAATAAGTAAGTAAAATCTCATAATTATTATGCAAGTGACAATGCAGTGGTGCATGTACCGAGTGACTAAACACTGTAAATGATAACATGTTAATAGTTGTGCAATATTCCTGGGTGTATAAACCAGAAGCAGAGCAATATGCAATATTTATGGATATATAACTTGAAGGGTGGTCTCTAACTGCAATATGTATGGATGTATAACATGAACGGCGGTCTTTGACTTCTACACCGTGTTTAGAATCACCAGACATATGTGGTTTCCAACACTATATAACATTATCTGTATACACTGACAAAAGTACTTAGCAGCTACTACTATTTTAGTTATGCAACGTCTATTTGTCCAGTTTGCACCAAACTATCGCTTTAAGTGCTGCAGTCTTCCTGTGACTTGTCTGTGTGACCCCACAATGCACTCACTCGGATCCTGCTCTCGTCCTGCTGAGCGTACTTGATGATGGCCATGGTGTCCTCGTCTTTGCGTGCCGATTCTTCCAGCCAGGCGTCCAGCGTCTGCTGGTCCCAGTTCAGTCGGCTCTTCAGCTCCTCCAGCTTCTGGGTGACTTTGAAGATGTTGTTCTAAAAGCCAGAAAGGCAGGGCAACAATTTTAAAAGATTATGACAGGGGAAACCAAATGCAAGCCACGTAAGTTGGACAACAAGCCACAGACGTACAGGTAAGTAAGGCATACAGTACTCATAGAAGGACACGCTCAGCAGCTTCATTAAGAGCCACCTGTGATGCTTTTTAACAGAACCAAAGAAGTTTCACATTTGTTCTACAACCCCAATTCAACTGAGTAACTGGGCTTTAAGAAGAAACGTCTTCTTAAGAACGGTTGGTGAATGAGGTCCAGTATTTAAGGTTACCTTATGAACTTCACCGTTTTTTGCACATATATGCTCATTCCAAACTTGTCAGCACCTAAAAGTCTGTATATGTTCTTGCAAAACGTGTTCAGCATTAATGGTGCTTCCATAGATGTGGAAGTTACTCACTAACACGCCCCCAAACCATGACAGATGCTGGATTTTGAATTTCATGCTGATAACAATCTACATCTTTTTCTTCTTTGGCCCAGAGAACACAGTGTCCATTATTTCCATAAACAATCTGAAAGGTTGACTCATCAGGCCACGTTTCCATGCCGCATCAGGCCATTTTAGATGAGCGCCAGCCCAGAGAAGTCGGCGGCGTTTCTGGACGTTGATATATGACTTCTGCTGTGCAAAATACAGTCTTAACTTGTTTTTGTGGATGCAGTGATGGACAAGTGGGGGCATTTGACTGTGATAAAAAATTGAGTTCTATAAATTTATATCATGGTATTTTCTACTATTCAGACGATAACAATATGATATCACGATATAAAAAAAGTGATGAATGTATAATAGTAGTTGTAATAATAACAATAAAAAAACAAAATTATTAATAGTAATAACAATAATAATTATCATTGTTATTACTAGGACTATTATCGCTGCTACTATTGCCATTATTAACATTAAAAAAATGTATAGTGTTTAAGCATAAGCCTTTAAGATGATGAAAACTATACATGCACCCAGCCGTGTTCAGTCTTTTGACTGGTGCTGTTCATTCTGAATCACTGAAACAAGGGAATGATTTCCAACCTCCTGTGAGTTCTTCTTCTCCCGCAGTGACCCCAGCTCGTTCTCCAGCTGAGCGATCTCCTGACGCAGGCGGCCCATCTCTCTCTCTGCCAGAGCTTTAAAATGCATCTCAGACTCTGTCTCTTTTTCTCTGGCTCTAATCAGCGCCTGCAGAAACATCAGGAATCAGTCAACCTTAAATCGCTGAGAATGTAAGCAGAATTTAACCATTTTTTCAGAATTTCTGCAGAATTTAGTCTTTGGGGCAAAGTCATTCGGAGTGGCTTGATGTGAAATAGTTCACTGTAGGGAGATAAGGAAGATCACCGACTCAGGAGTCGGATTTACCAAAGCTTTCTTTAGAAAAAAACTTACAAAGGATCCTAAGACGAACACTTAGGCCCAATCCCATTTCTTATTTTTACTCCAAACGCTTGTTTTCGAGTGTTTTCTTGCCCCTTGAAACTGAGTTACAAGCGGTAGTGGTTGAAATCTTCCCTACAAAATGGGACCCTCAAATAAAAAGAGCATTACTTCATTAACAGGCTAATAGCGCTGCTCTGTAGGCGACCCTGCCAGTCTGCAGTGACAGCAGAGGAGGGTAAAGTTCAGCTCCTCACTGCTGGGCTTTAGTTACATTTAGGGCATCATATGCCTTCAAAGAGGGGGGCAATTATTTATTATCACCCACCCCTGACTATATGAAGCTGAAGTCAGATATTCACCAGCTTTTTGCTCGAATTTTGTGTTTCACCTTAAATGGAGCAGCAGTTCTGACGCCTGAGGCACCAGAATGTTAGTTTTTTTTATCAGAACTGCATTTAAGAACATTCTTATGAACTTCTTACTGTTTGTCATTAGTTTTGTTTTCTGTAGGAAAGCTTCTGTGAATCTGGCTCCAGGTGTTGTGATGTCTACAACGCAAATATATCCACATTTTATTTACTATCCAAAATCATCAGTGAACCTAGATGTGTCTTCTATGTTTTATTATGTAATGCTGATGATGGCACAGCAGTGATAAATGGATAAAAACACTTCCTACTATTTCTTAAGACCCTCTACATGAACCTCTCCAGCATTAATGAATTTAAAAAATACACAATTTAGGCCAAAACCTTCTCAAAACAGCAAATTTGTAACCTTTTTCGTTTAATAACTTTCTGCGAGGGAGCTTTTAGAGGTGGACGTCTGGTTCCTATCCCAAAACCAAGTGTTTCTGTTGCTTCCTGATGGTTTTGTAATGTGTATTGGCTTTTTAATGGGTTGATATCACAGTGTAAAGGATCCTAATGGTTTAACAGGTGACCACCGGCTGTTTCTAAATGCATTTGATGGCTTCCTAATGGGATCTAAAGGTGTTCTACAGGAAACTAGTGGTCTTTATTGGAAACCATTTTGCCAATTCCGATTAGAAAGCAAAACCAGGTTTTAATCCTAATACTTTCTAAAGGTCTTTTTTCAGCAGGGTTTGGAAAATCAGTTTAATTCCCCTTTAAGGATGTGGAGTTAACGATGAGAATGTGACAGTGGTCAGATCTGTGAATTTGTCTTCTCCAGTGCTGTTTTAGGGTTACCTGAGTGTGAGAGAGCTCCAGCTGGACGTTCTTCAGATGCTCAGCCATGGCATTTATCCTGTCCTTGTACCCACTCAGTTTGTTCTCGATGCTCGCCTTCTCCTTCTGTTTCCTCTGCAGCTAAAGAGGGGAGAGAGAAGTAAGCTTAAGCTCCAAGCCCAAAACACTTTCATTCTTTTTCCTCATTCAGTTCATTCAGCACAAAGATAGAGCTAATAAGCTGAGCAGAGCATCAACATTCTTATCTACATTTTTCACAGTGACATGAACCGAAATGTGAGCTACGACTTACTATGTCTTAACAATGACTTGTTTCTCAGAACACTGACTTACATTTTGAAAGCAGTGACGATGCCGAAAATACTGATTTATGATTTAATTTACTTACTATCCCCAAATACTTGCTTACTTTCTTGAAACTCAATAAGTCCTGGTATCTCAATCTCCAGAAAATAAGTCCATATTTACAGTAGAATACATAATTATTTGATACAATCAGTGTTTTGAGAAAATAAGTCATCATTTTGAGATATTAAGTCCATATATTAAAAGAATAAGTCATTAGTCTGAGATAATAAGTCCATATATTAGGAGAATAAGTCATTAATTTGAGATATTAACTCCATATATTAGGAGAATAAGTCATTAATTTGAGATATTAAGTCCATATATTAGGAGAATGAGTCATTAATTTGAGACATTAAGTCCATATTTTAGGAAAATGAGTCATTAATTTGAGATGTTAAGTCCATATATTAAGAGAATACATCATTAATTTGAGTTATTAAGTCCATATATTAGGTGAATGTCATCATTTTGAGATATTAAGTCCATATATTAGAAGAGAAAGTCATTAATTTATTATATTAAGTCCATATTTAGGAGAATAAGTCATTAATTTGAGATATTAAGTCCATATATTAGGTGAATAAGTCATTTATTTGAGATAGTAAGTCCATATGTTAGGAGAAAAGTCATTAATTCAATATATTAGGTCCATATATTAAGAGAACAAGTAATTAATTCGATATATTAAGCCCATACGTTAGGAGAACAAGTCATTAATTTGAGATATTAAGTCCATATATTGAGAGAATAAGTCATTAATTTGAGATATTAAGTCCATATGTTTAAATTCTGCTGCTACAGAGGAGATGGAGCAGTGATTTTTCTCCTCTCTCTGGCAGGAAAGTCTTTCTACACATCTCTATACTGGCTGTATTTCACTTTGTAAAAGGTGGGACACAAAGTAAAACAGGTCAATTGTAATTTAACACTGATCTGGCAATCAAACAATCCTGGCAGTGCTGAAAAATCCTGCTCTCTGCTGACAGAGGAGACTCGGGTTCACTCGGGTTCACTTCATGCAGACTCTGTTGGGCAGCTTAGCCACGTTAATTCATTACTGCAGGTCACTGTGTAGCAGCACTAAACTAAACTTGTGGCTTAAAGTTGCCAAACAGGCCAGAAAGATAAGTACTAAAAGACAGACCTATGAGAAGGTCAGTAGAACAGACCGTCACCCTTAAGGTAAAGGGGAATTCCACCGATGTTTCAAAATTCTGTATAATCCAGTCATTGAGACGTAAACTGAACAAATCCACTCAGAGAGGTTTGATGTGAAATCTTGCCAACTCAGATGTCTTTACAGTGATGGTGATGGGAACCAGGGGTCACCATGACTACAACACCAATATAGACATTTTATTTACCATCCAAATGCACCAGTCAACCTACACGAGTCTTCTGGGTTTTTATGTTTAATGTTGATGATGGTAAAAAAGTCATAAATCTGGAAAAATACATTTCTCTGAGGACTATTTTGCCTTATAACGCCCTGCACGTGCCCGTCCGCCATGAATAGCTTTTAAAAATAGATGTTTTAGGCCAAAACCTTACCTGAGAACTTTAGTAAAACAACGTCTCAGGCATCAGGCAGCATATTCGTTACCATATAACTGTTAATGTAGCTAATAAATATCTGTGAGGGAGATTTTAGAGGCATTAAGCTCTTTAGACGACGTCTGGTTCCTGTCACCACCACTGTGAACAGTTCTGACTCTGTAAGTTTCTCTAGAACGGAGCATTTCACACCAAACCACTCTGACAGACTTTGTTTTACATCTTAACCATTTACTTATGTACAAATTTTGACAAATCGGTGGATCCCCCCTTTAGTTAGCATTAACGTTGCTGATTTTCGTCGATAAACTCGCTCACCTTCTCCTCCAGGGCTTTATTCTCTGCGTTGGCCACTGGGATGGCGAAACCTTCGTCCCACTCTACCTCAGATAAAACTGCGCTGGCCATTGTTGTCGCTCTTCACTGGGAAAATGTTAAAATAGGGATTAAAACTTATAGAAAATGCTAACTGTCTACTGGTGCAGCGGGCTGAGCGCAGCCCTCTCAGCCCAGTGTTGTCCTATAGCTACGTTACCTAGCAACAGTGTAGCCAACAAATGTACCGCCTTCCGCCAGCAGAGGGCGCCAAAGTCAAACGCCGCATACAATGAGCTATGTCAAAGGGGAATTCCAGCAAGTTTCCAAAATTCCTGCATAATTCATTCGATGTACGTCATTCAAAGTGGTTTGGTACGAAATGGTGCGTTGTATGGAAACCCACTGGATTATATAGTATATCCATTTTATTTGATTTCCAAAATGGCCAGTAAACATCTTCTGAGTTCATATATGTAATGTTGATAGTATTAAAGAATTATATTCAATTATGTTCAAAAATTTTACATAATTAAACGGTCGAGGTGTAAATAAAGTCATTCAGAGTTGTTTGCTGTGAAATGCTTTGTTCTAGAGAAACTTGCCGAGTCAGAATTATTCACAGTGGTGGTGATAGGAACCAGACGTCTGAAGACTTTAATGCCCTTAAAAAAACTCTCTCATAGAAAGTTATTGCATGAAATGGTTGCATATAAATGTCTGATACATTGTCTTATGATAGTTTCATGATAAAGTTTTGTCTTAAAATGTATTTTCTCCATTTTCTACCCATTCATGTTGGAGGGGTATATGCAGAGCATCGTAAGGCAAAACAGCTCCAAAAGAAAAACATATTATTTCAGATTTACAGCTATTTTACCCTCACCAACATTTAATACACAAATCAGAAGACAAGTGGTGGTTCTGGGTTGTAAATAAAATAGCTAGACTGGTGTTGTAGACATCAACCATGAGCCATTTCATGTCAAACCACTCTTAATGACTTGTTTACATCTCAAGGGACTGAATTATTCAGAAAGTTTGAAAAATTGGTGGAATTCCCCTTCAAACATTGTAGCAAAATAAAGGTAAATCAGGGATTTTTTTTTCAGGAAAACTAGTAAAGCAACATCTCAGGTACCAGGCAACATTCCTATTTCCTCTATTAGAGGGATTAAACACTCTGTGAACAATTCTTTCTCTACAGTGCACAATTAAACATCTGAATTTGGAAAAGTTGGTGGAATGCCCCTTTGACAACAAAGAGAGCCCTTATTCATACTGTTCCACACAACACAACCTTTCCAAACATTTCCAAGCGTGTAAAGAAATAACTGAAGGGCCGCGGCCACCAACCTTCCTTCTGGTGCAATACTTTCCACAGTTTCACCTTCAACCAAAAGACAACCGATGATATTCGAATACAGTTATCAGCTGGATCAGGTTTTGTGGATAAGAGCTGAAACTACTCTGGTGAAAGAAAGATTAGCTAACGGTTGCTAACGCCTGACAGCAGCAAAACTGATTTTGTTAGCATTTAGCTAAACACAGCACTATTTTTCCATCAAAGTTGGACCACACAATGTACCGCATCACCCAAAGGACTCCTGACAGACTCCCAAACGTGCGGCATAGATCTAACGCCTCAGAGTGACAGACTGTTAGCAGTTAGCTTAATACCGCCTCATTTTTCTTCACCTTAAATTAAGTTTAAGGAAAATTGGGCAACATGTACAAATATCATTCTAAAGATGCACTGATGTGGAAGAAATCCGGCTCCCAAAACCTGAACAGATTTTGTTCGACTGGCAAAACTCATTTTGTTAGCGGTTAGCTAAACATTGCACTGCTTTATACACACACACACACACACACACACACACATATATATATATATATATGTGTGTGTATATATATATATATAAACATTCAAATGTTTTTATTGATTTTTCAATGTTTATGCACAAACACTTCCCTAAACCCCCCAACTGTAATCCTTGCATACACATATTCTAAGACCTAGCTAAAGTCAAGAAGAAAGGGGAGAAAAACAAAAGAGGGGAAAATAAGAATAAGATGTTTAATGAGTGAGAATGCTCAGTCTCAAAATGTGTCAAAAATGGTTGCCAGCATTTATAAAACCTCCTGCTTGAACCTCTGGTAATATGCTTCAAGTGTTCAAGTTTAAGATGTGCCATAACCTCTTTGATCCAGTTTAATGGGATGGTGGCTCGGCCCTCTTCCCAAGTTGCTCGGATGTCTTCTGGAACTACCCCAAACAAAGCCGTAAGGGCATTAAGTTCGAAATGTGTGTTCCAAATATGTGAAAAAGTATTAAAGATACCTGGCCAAACATCCAGCAATTTTGGGCATGTCCAAAACATATTGCTTAAGGTGCCTCGGTCCCGCTTACACCCAAGACAAGTTGGGTCTCTATTTGGATTTATTCTTGCCCACTGCTTTATATTTAAAACGGTTGTAAACCGTCAAAAAAATCCGTTACCCAGACCAAATACGTACCACATTGACTTGGTCAGTGTGGGTCATCTAAAAACAATAAATTATTGTAAAGTTATAATTCAGCCACATACAAAAACCACTCTAATGATTAATTTTAATAATTAACGCTTACGTTACCAGACCTGAAAACCTGCAGAATCTGCTTAAGCGGCAAAAGAGATTTTGTTAGCATTTAGCTAAACTGCACTGCATTCATTTCATTGTTTATAAGTTGTAAGCTGACAATAAAACTTGTTGAACGGATCAAATATGTACCATACGAACCTGGTATATAGAACGGATGAGAAACATTCATTAAGTGAACGTCAAATATAGTCAATCTGACTCCAACACTCGGTTAGCACATTGTGCAATTAGCCTAGCCTAAGAGTCGTTCCATGGAAACGTCCATTTTTGTGTAGCTTTTACAGATATATTACAATTGAAAAACATGTTAGGGTTACAATTTTTTTGTATTTTAAAATAAAACTAAGTTATTCTAACAATTACACCTTCCTGAGCCTCAATTCAGCAATACTGGTTTTTAAATCAATCATATAGAATTCCAAGCACCACAGAAGAGCTCGTCCACGCGGTCGTGTGTGAAGGCTGAGGCCACATTTTAAGGTAAAAAAACGTTTTTCTGCTATTTTAACTGCAATAATCTCTACATGACTATGAAACATATTATTTAAATGAACTAAAGAAAACAAATGCCAAATAAATATTATAAAATATGTAATAAAAGTTGTCCCCAGGAGTCGTGTCACTGGTGTTACCGCCTAACAAAAAATCTCTTATTTTGAAATAAAAATCACACTGATGACATCACTTTTCTTCCTTTTACCTGTTTTCTGAGGATCTATGAAGAAAAGCACATGGTGAGTCCACTGTGTCTTTCAGTTATCAGAGATTTTCTCATTTAGCTCATGATTTCATGTGAAGCTTTTAGCTGAAGTCACTGGTGTGACCGACTTTATTCTCAGGTAACTGTGAAAAGATAGAATACAAATGGATTAAATGACATTTTAGTGGATATTTCATGATTGACAACATGTGGTTTGATTCTCTGTAGCAGACGTTTAGTAAAATGCATTTTTCATTAAAAATGTCTCTGGTGTTACCTTTCTTATGTGTAACACCAATGAGGATCGGTAACACCAGTGACCCCTATGGATAGACAGAAAAGTGGACGTTTCTGCAGAATGAACCAGCATCATTTTTATCCTAAATGAAGTTGTTAAGTTTGGCCACAAGCACAAAAATCATTCTAAGCATTACTTTATGTTTAAGTAACCAGATTTCAAAACCTGCACCATTTGTTAAAGCAGCAAAACAGTGTTTGTTAGCATTTAGCTAAACATTTGGACAGCTTTACCCTTAAGAAAGCTGTGCACTGTCAACTATCTAAGTATGATCCACATTCACTTGATTTATAGTAAGGGTAAATGAAGAGAATGCAAAATATAGTTACTCTGACGGAGAAAAACTGATGGAATATACAGATATTCCTGTCATACTGACGATCAAGTTTAATCAAAACCAAACAAGCAGTGTGAAATCATAGCCATTTTCTTAACAGCAACAGAAAATATACAATAAGTCACAATAAAACTAACAAATTTGGGTGTTTCTGTTTTTCTTATAATGTCCCCTAAAAAAAGAGAATACAATCAAAGCTCTGTGTCTCAGATGTTCCATAAAAACTGAAGAAAACAAACATTCAAAGCAGGAATGCACATGGAGTATTAAAATTAAGATTTAATATTTGATGAATTTTGACATTCCCCGACCAAGCCCTGGGTGTGGATTAAGATGGCATGTCTGAGTGTCTGTTGGGTTTTAGCTTTTGCCCGGCTGATTTCGGAGCACGTCTGGGGGGGGAAAGCACTGACGAGGTCCCAGAGCTCGAACCAGCTTCTGTTGACTCAGCCCGACACAAAAGTGGCACACATCCAAAAAAATTTACGATTTAAAAAGCCCCAACCACCACTAGATGACTGAAGAGGAGACGCTTCTTCGAAATGTCTTTGTTGTACACAAACGTCTCGATCCTGAGGGTTGGAAAGGCAATGTAGATTTCAGTTCAGTTCTCTGTGCTCTGGGAGCCAAAGTAGAGGTCCAGACGGCCTTTGTGAAGGCCTAGGGGCCTAGACGGCTGTGCTCTTGGTCCCGATGTGCGGCCGAGCAAACTCCACGAAATCGTCGATAAGTACTGGCCACGCTCCTGGAAGACAAGGAAACAAAGCCACAACCTTATTAAATATAAAAAGAAACAAAATCAGTGACGAAATCAGTGTTTAATATTATCGTAAGTTTTAAGTCTTGACTCATGCGAATAGCGATGTGCCAGGTGCGTGCGTGAGAGCGAGCGGGCAAGCGCAGAGAGAGAGAGAGAGAGAGAGAGAGAGAGAGACAGAGAGAGACAGAGAGAGAGAGAGAGAGAGAGAGAGAGAGAGAAAATGCATGCGTGAGTGCCTGAAATCTCTGTTTAGGCAAATCTGACCCACTTTAACACAATAATCTGTTTTTAGTAACGTAAAATGTAAACTGGCTGCTTTAATATTTCGGTTCACTGAGCCTTTTTAACAGTGATGTAAGGAAACCATAAGAACCTTTGTTTTGTTTTGTTTTTTTGCTTTCTGTTAGGGCTTTTTTTTTTATTTAGTTTGTTTGTTTTTTATGGTTTAGTTGATAAGGTTTAGTTCACCCAATCAACAATGCTAAATCACTGAATGTTTTGTTGATGTGCAAATCTTTGTCAAATTAAAAAAGTAGCTGCACATTTTGGAGGTTAATTAAAATTCTGGGTGATGATCCAGATGCCAGAGTATACAGTTCTACAGTGAACTGCTCTGAGCCCCAGATCTTTACACGCCCAGCCAAGGTATCTTCTCATCTGTACCACTATACAGTGGAAGGAAAAGTGTTTATCTGCTTGTAAATTTCCACCAGATGCATGATGGGGAATAATCTTAAAAATCTAGCTGCAGTCTTGCAAATAGTGCAAGACTTCTAGTCTTTGCAAAATCATAGTCTGGGACTAAAAGCTGTGATATTATCTTTAGGTGTGAGAGGGTGTCAGACTTTAGTCTTTCATAAGTCTTTTCAAAGTCTTTTCAAGTCTTTTCAAAGTCTTCTAGTGTATCGTTAGTATAAGGCTTATTATTCAGCAACTACTAAAAAAGTCATATATAAGGTAAGTCGTTATTGGAGTGATGCTGGGCGTCACTACACGACTTTTAAAATCTTAACAGATTTCTAAAACGGAGAGCGTCACAAACTTGACATCAGTTTGTCACAGAATTTCTTGTCTTTGTGTCGTGAGGCGCTCAGACTAGACAACAGGACAGAGACAGTATAACACACATAACGAGTTTGGGCTACGAATAAGAACTCAAACTCCCAGATCTCCTCAGAAATCACGACACAAACAAAGCTAAACTTGAACCGGACCTGTTTGGGCTTTTATGCACAACAAAAGCACAAACTAGGAATGAATACGTGTTTGAGAAGCGCTGATATGAGAGCTGGAGAAATATTTCACTACAAACTGGCAGCTGAGCTGAAACAGTAAAGAGAGTGTTTTGACGTCTGGATCCAACATTATAAACATGATAACAGCTCTTATCTGACTGTGTGAGACTCTGTCTCTGCTCCGCTGTTCATGAGGTGTTCAAACACGTCTTTTTCTCCACTCTTCCGGCTCTCTGATTGGCTGCTGTTTGAATCGCTCGCTGAGTGCATCTCTAACCTTCTCACACTGCAGGACTCGTTTTGAGTCATAAAAATCAAACATGTCTGATAACATTGGAGGGTCTCAGATCACTTTAGGGCTAAAGATTCACTCGTTTCGCCTCTCACACTACCAGATCGTCTGCACCATCAGTCACTTATGATCGAGCTCCCGACCTGGAAAGGGGCAAATCGGGCCTAAAATCTGACAAAAAAAATCGTGTAGTGTACGCCTGGCTTGAGGAATTTAAATGTGGGGCCGTGACGTATTTCTGATTGAAACATGGTATCAAGGAGGGTTTCTAAGCTACCTGAGTGTTTTCCTCGATGACAGGTGAGGGAGGTGTCTTATAGCTTAATAATATTTGGCTCGTCCACTGGAGCACAACGACGATCAGAAATTGTTTTATAGGTGGACAAAAGAGAACATTTTGAAGGAAGATTATGGGGGAAAAATATTGTTTTACATGGTACAACGAACTGTGCTTAATATGACCAGAGACATGAACAAATGTAAAAAAAAGTCCATTTCTATTTCAGGTTCCCTTTAAAGTTCAAGGGGTTAAGTGATGTATTTTTTTAACGTCTAAACAGACTCGTAGCGATGTCTCTTTTCATCTCACTTTATGCATTTCTAAAATAATATTGGATACTTCCTTAAAATGTGGTTGTAAGGGTTTTACAAAGGCAATCATTTTGACCAGGACTTCACAAATTTGCTCATTTTTAGACGGGGTGAAAACGTAACTTCTTCCAAAATATACATTTCAGTTACTAAATCTATCCAATCTTCTATTGATGGAGAGTCAGGAAGGTACCAGCGTCTAATTATGTTTTCTAAAATAATAAATAATTAAAATAAGTGATTAAAATTGACGGATGAATTTATTACACTGAGGTAATTAATTACTCATTTAATCAGGCGTATTTATTACATTGTGTGTAAAGATTCCATTGATCCTACTCCAATAAACATGAATACTGGACTAAATATCAGTCGTAAAAGCACAAAAAATAAAATGAAAATATGTCAGTGAGCATGACAGCCAGTGAGCATGAGCCTTTTAAATTCTCCTACTGCTCACTCTTTCAGCTCTTTTACTTTTTTATATACATTTTTTTTATTTTTCTTTGTTTAGTCGTGTTCTGAAAGGCTGTGCGTTGTTTGTTCAGTTAAAAGGGCTCACATCATGTACACATGATTTTCCGTCGCTTTTTTAAAATAAAGTTTTAAGTAATATGAAATCAGCCCGTTTTGAATATGCTTTTTTGATGTCAAGACAATAAACTCATATATACATACATACATACATACACACACATTATATATATTATATATATATATATATATATACACACACACACATATCTGCCTACAGCAGTTTAGCCCTGCCCATTCACTTTGAAGTTCTAAGGAGTGTTTCAACTCTCAAGTCAAGTGCTTTTAAATGAGGCAAAATACAGGGCAGCCAATTAAAAGAGTTAAATTACATATACAAGTCCTAAAGACACAGTAACAAAAACATCATGGCCACGTAAAAATGAACTATCATCATTTTTGGTACATAATAAGTGGACCTTAAAGGAAAACAAACAGAGAGGCCTAAATCTGATGTTCTGCTTCATAAATGGATAAAAGTGAAGGGTAAAGTGAAAAATGTGAGCGGATACAGACCCTCCTCGTCGTAGTTGGACATGTCGTCGGTTATCATTGTGCTGAAGTCTAACAAGAGGTTCCAGGTGTCTTTGGGAATGGATCTCTTATGGTGCTCCTGCAAGAGATACAACACACAGCAGAAAGTGTTAAGTGCTGAAACACTGCTGTCCAGTCACACAAATGATTTTAAAAGAAAAATAAACTGAAGTGATGCATGATAACAGAGTCACATTGGTAGCTGCAGATATTTGTTTTAAAAATACATATCTACACTGGACAGATCTTCGATTTGACTAATATTTCAAATTGATATTTGATTATACACTCATTAAACTCTGGATGAACAGAATGTTTAGGAAATGCTGGGCTACTGCACTAAAATGTCTGCATTTTTCTTATTTAACTGCATTTTTAACGCTCTACAAATACACGTTACACTTCTCTGTAGCACTAATCCAGGTGGATGTAGTCCCAGTTTCTGTATAGAGGCATCGGCATCATGCATAAAAATGAGAAAATGTTAGATATCAGCATTGGTATACAGTATTCAACCTACAACAGTTTAGCCCCGCCCATTCACACTTAAGTTCTAGAGCACGGGTCTTCAATTAAAATTCAGTAAGGTCCAGTCAAAGAAAATTTCCTCAAGCAAAGGTTCAGAACATCATAATTTCTAACTTGCATCATGATTCACAGATCTGATTGGCTGAGTAGTGTCATGTGTGATTTTTACAATGCATGCGATTGGTCTGTGAGTTTCCTGGGCCGCTAAAGCTACCGTAAAGTCAAGAAAAGCTACGGCGATTAAAACAGACCACCCCGTCGAAATTAAATAATTCTCCATAGTTTATCGGTTATAGGTCCAGGTCCGCATAGGACAGCGTCTGGGTCTGGACTTGGACCGCAGTCCGTCTGTTAGTGACCTCTGTTCTAGAGAGTGTTTCAGCACTGAGTGCTTTCTAAATGGAGCACAATGCAGGACATCCAATCACAACAGAGCTTATTTACACATATCAGCCTTACAGGCACAGTAACAAAAAAAGCCTGTTTAATTCTAAGAGAAGAAGAGTGGTTAGAAAAAAGGCATGTAAAAATGAATGACGACTGTTTTGGGTGCACAGGTACTCTTTAACTATTTTGCAGCTATACAGAACACGAAACATCGTCATGACTAGAACAACAAAACCTAACCTTTTGTAAGAGAATGACACAGAAATTGTTTTACCTACACATTTAATTAAAATTTTGGATTTTAAAATAATTTTCAATGCATTTTCTTTCAAGTATCTGTACGTTGTAGTGACTAATGGCTTTTTTACGCATTCAGGTTTTAACTGTATAAAGTTAAAAACGGGAATGCTTATATTTATATAATAAAAAGTCTAGCAGTAGGAGGTTTTCTCACAATAGCAGCAACACACTGTACACAGATTAGTAAGATAAACACACTTACCACTAAAAATTTGTTCCACAGGTCTAGGAATTTGAAGCGTCCAGCCAGTACTAAATTCCAGTAAGCAATTGCCATTTCTAAATCTGGAACAACAAAAAAAAGGCTAAATTTAACAAACAGAAATGTGACTGCAAATCTGATCCAATGCATAAGAAATGAACAGATACATACCCAAGCCTTTCTGTCCAGGATTCTTTGCAAAGTTGAAGGTAAACTGATAGAAGTCCTTGAACCTCCCTTGGTCTTTTAACTCCTGCTCCATTTTGGGTAACTGTGCTTTAAGCTTCTCTATGCTGTCGCATCTTGTGAGAGAAAAGGTATATTTAATACAAGGCAACCGTCTGAATGTGTCTCAAAGGGTGGTGAAACTCAACTGCCCCTTTAATCCTTTATCTGTGTTGGACGTAATAATGTGAGTATAAGGAACTATAAAGGTAAATTACCCTTGTTCAGTCATTCCATCCATGAATTCCTGCTTTGAAAACTCGCACTGTGTGGCAGCGCGAAACTTCCAGGCGATCAGTAGTACACTTATACTGGCCGGATCGAGACCCAGGTCATCGCAGAACTGCTGAATGCCATCTATACCAATCTTGTTGTCATCATGAGGGTCTATTGAAAAGAAAAGAAAGAGCAGAAAAGAAAGTTAGTTCCCCATTACATCAGCAAAGACTCGGGCTGGGTAATTTAAAACTTTAGTAAGAGGGGAGAGCGGGCGCCACCCAACACATTTCGTTTTTTTGCTAAAAAATAAACATATTTAAGCAAGATTCATATTTTTAATACAAACAATCTGCACATCTCTGCTACAAATGAAACTTTTTTTTCTTAACAATTCAGCCCGAAAGCGGCCAGTGAGCAAATATGTTACAGCTTCTACCTATGAAAGACTGAGGGGCTGGAAACATTTGCCAGAAAAGTGTGGTAAATCGATGCAAACACAATTAATTCAGTATAATTCTATGTTGTTTGCACCAAATGAGCTTCCCTTAATATATATACAAATAAAATATTCATAAAATTGATATTTAGACAGTGAAAAATACTGAAATATGTTCAAATACTGAAAGAGCTTGTGAAAAGTATTTTTGACCACAACAGTAATTTTGTTTACAGGACATGTTCTATATATATATATATATATATATATATATATATATATATATATATAGACATGTTCTTAAAGCACAGACTTGTTCACACCTTTCTGCTCTTAGCCAAGAACAAATCAAATAAGACAACACTGGTGAATGTCAGAATCTTCACAGAAACTGTCAGTGGGTTTTAAGAAGAGATTTTTTCTTAAGAATGGTTGGTAAATGAAGCCCATTATTATATAATTAGAGAGATTTATTCGTTACAGAGTGTTAAAACTACCCCCGTCATGTGGAGGCTGTGCTTTAGCCTGGCTAGCTCTCTCTGTAAGTTCTTTCCATGCTTCAAAACAGTGCTACATTACAGCCGCCGAGAGGACGACTGAAACAATACAGGTTTGAATTCTGTGACTTACACACACAAATCAGTAATTAAAAAACGTATGATAAAGTTACTTTTATGACACAAAAATGGACTTCAGGGTAAATCTTGAGAAAATCTTTCTGAGTGTTGTGAAGATATGCAGATGACCCTGCTGTGGTAATGCGAGAAACTGACCAAAAGCAGGTTCTACTTCCACCTGTTTAGCTGCATAAAATATCCAGGTTACCTTTTACTCCATATTAGCTTGTGCCCTGCCCACCTGCGCCCCCTCCAGCCAACTAAATCACTTCAGTACTACTGAGTGTTGAAAAATTGTCATTCAAAATCACATTTCAATACCGAAGTAGTCAGTCTTATCAGCATCCATGAACTAATAAGCATTCTTGTTCCAGAAAATCCAGACCACTGATTTGGTGTCTAAATGACATTCTGCATGCACGTTATTAACGTCAGCGCCTCTTGATTTCAGCACTTCACACTCATTTCTGGTTTAAGCCACACTCACTTTCAGTTTTTGATTTAATAGAAGGGAAAACAAGTCAAAGGTATCGGTATTGGAATGAACATTTTTAATGATGCCGATCCTGGTATTATTCACAATATATTGTTGCATATATATTACATTGGCCTTTATACTGATACTGCAGATGGCTGAAATAAGCTAAAGTCTCACAGAGACTAATTCATCTCATGGAGATGTGATAATACCATCTGGCTACGAATGTATGGGAACAACCATGAGAAATTTTGGGCTAAATATTGGTGGGAACGTAGACTTACTGTGAAATTACAAAACCAATCCAACTGTTTGTGAGTGTGGAGCTCAAAGTAGAGGACGATGTCAACACTGTCCCACAGACAACAAGCCTGTCGTTAGCCCAGGGATGTAATGTAAGTTAGCATGGCTAAAAAAGACCTCTAAAAAAACAAATTTCAATTAAGTCAATTAACGTGCTGCATGTGCAGAGAACATGCGGTGAAAATGAACATTCTCTCTTACAAGGGATAAACAGGTTCGTTAGCTAACGATAAGAGCTTCGCTAGCTAGCTTTTTTTTGCTTGTGTTATCAATCGTACTCTGGAGAGCACCGATCAGAAAAATTTGGGGTTGTGAGCATCCTGACCAATCACAGCTTCAGATGAGTTTCTGTGGGTGTCCTGATCAATCAAGATGCTCATGTTATCCCACAAAAGAAAATTATTTTGGCCAAACAGTCCTTATAATGATCTCACATCAATATTTCAACAAAGCTTTGTTAATACATCGCAATCTCAGTACACAGCAGCATAATTTTGTCCATATTTTGCAGCCTTAACAGAATATTAAACAGGCCTGCTTCAAAGAAGAATTAGGCCCAATCCCATTTCACCACTCGCCCCTACCTCTTAGCCCTTAGCCCTCTGTTTTGCACATTCATGTCTAGGGGTAGGGTGTGCCAATGTTTGTTGAGATAGAGGGGTAGGGCGAAGTCTTAGGGCTACATGGCCCTCCAAACAGAGGTTTTTCAGAGACTCCAAACAGTGTTATGAGGAAAAAAAAAGAAAAACCCGCAAGATGGCTGAGCAAGAGACCAAAGAAACCCACAAACGTGAGAATTTTCTCTGTTAAAAAATTACAATAACTGTTATATTATCTTTAATTTAATGCTAATAGCATGCTAATGTTTCAGTAGCTAGCTAGCTAACTTTCCCCGTTCCACCTTAAACAGTCCAGCAGTTCTGACACCTGAAGCACCAGAATGTAACTGCTGCACTATTTAAGGTGGAACAGGAAAATTCAAACAAGAAGCTGGTGAGCAGCCGATTTCAGCTTCATATCACCAAAGAATTAAGGGTGGTTGATAATAAATAACTGCCCCCCCCCTCTCTTTGAAGGCACATGATGTCCTAAATGTAACTAAAGCCCAGCAGTGAGGAGCTGAACTTTACCCTCCTCTGCCGTCACTGCAGACTGGCAGGGTCGCCTACAGAGCAGCGCTAGTAGCTGTTAATGAAGTGATGCTCTTTTTATTTGAGGGTCCCATTTCATAGGGAAGATTTCAACCACTACCGCTTGTAACTCAGTTCCAAGGTGTTAGGGTGACACTCGAAAACAAGGGGTAGGGGTAAAAAGAAGAAATGGGATTGGGCCTTAGTGGTCATTTAAAATAATCGCTACACAACAACTAACAGTGAATGAAAATTAATAAGCCTTCAGGGTGGAGTTTTCTTTTAAACCATACCCTTGACAACCTAAGTCTGTATGTGATCCACTTAAATAATGAGTTTTCCCACACTCTGTACTCCTTACCTCTGTACCGATTGTAGAGCTGTTCTAATTTTTTCTTGTCAAACGATCCCTTTAGGTTTTGTACGTAGAGTTCAGGATTCTGGAAGAAGTTGTCTGTGGCGACGTCTAGTTTCCAGTCATTCTGAGACAAACAATTCAGTGCTGTTTTCTCATTAGACTGGGTGAAAATCATGAACTGGCGAACTTTATCCTTCTGTGAGGATTTCAGCTTGTTCTGTTGGGAAGAGCACAAACAATATTAAGCGACTAAGATGTATTCATTTGAACAGAATGAGGAAAGACTACTTAAGTATTCAATAGCTTTACCTAGAGGTGGGCAATATGGCAAAAAAATGTAATATCACAATACTTAAAGTTTCTCACAATACACGATAAAGTCACGATATTTATTTTTCTGACCTTTGGTACATTGAAACAGCCACATTTGAAAAAAAAAAATTATCAAAAACTATGTTTGAATGTAACATTTCACACATTGTGCTGCACTAAATACAATTAAAAATAACTAATTATGCTGTTTTGGTAATCCAGCATGCAGTTGGGTAGTGCTTTTAAGTACTGACGATATCCACAATATGCTAAGATAAGCACACTGTGAGGTCATTTATCACGATAATGACAGATACTGCCATATTGCCCAGCCCTAGTTTTACTCAAACGCAAGTACACTTGTGAGGAAAGGACTTTTTACATGCTGTCATTTTAATAATTCACATTAGAAACCCCTTATGGGTTTAATTTCATTTTCTTCAGTTGGTTCAGCTTCTGGGAAGCCTTTCTGTTCGACACATCTTTTTTGCAGCTTTAGCACTTTATTCTAGACCAAATGAATCCCTAAAGGAGAAAAAAAAGGCCCAACAAACTTCAGGCTCTATGCTGATAGATGCAGGAGGCAGTAAAAAGTTCCAATGCAGTTGTACAGGAAACTCCTCGGGCAGTTTTTGACCTGATTTTGACCAAGTGGGTGTCTGGTAGCCTCTGTATCTTTCACTTGAGCATTATTTCACTGAAGTTACAGCATTTTTACTTTTCAGTACTTTTCAATCTGCTCTGTTACAGATTACAGATGGCATTTCTGTATCGGGCCAATATCAATACAGGAAAAAAAAGACGAATGTGATCCGATCCTGTAACAAATCTGTCCTGAAATAGCACTCACACTGTGTGACGTCACGCTGTGTATTTCCTCCTGTGGGGTAGCGAGTGTTTGAGTAGTTTCAGCATGATCATCTACTTTTAGATGCACTTTTAGAAGCACTTTGTAAAAAGAAGTAAATATCAGTTTCGGCGAAGGTATGTCTGTAAATGATCAACTGATTAACTGTTAACTGACAATTAAACCAATGTTTGTCCAATGCACTGGTAGAAAACATTAAATTTTACTTAATTTCCAATAAACAACAGTCCCTATTTGAACAGGCTATCATTTGAAGTTGAGGAACGTTTCTGAATTGCATGCATGAGGGCGCAGAAAGCAATTTGGTTCTGCAAAATCAGCCTACTAAAAAATAAGCACACAGCCAAAAATAGTGATATTCGGGACCACAGAAGACAACAGCACAGCTACAACCGTATCAACAGCAAACAGCCGCAAGCGATGAGACTGACAACTATTTCTATGTTCTCAGAGAGACAGTGTGACGAAATCACACATGGGTGTACAAAATTACAGAGAAGGCCAGGTTGGACAGTGACAGCTTTCCGGGCCTCCTGAGTTGCCCCAGTTATGGGATTTATATTCATTTTACTTGGGCCACTCATGAGTTGTAAATATAACTTCAAGACATCAGAATACACTGTATACTTCAGTTATTTAATCTACTTTTTTAGCTTATGTTCAAATACTCACAAATATATATAGTTGTCAGACCCTCAGTTATGACACAGGTCATGTTTAGTACAGTTTCAAGCTATTTACTTACTATATATACAGTTATTCCTGGCCCCACCCATCAGCACTACCTTCCACTGTCCATAGAAGGAACAGTTTTTAGTCGCTCGGTGCATTGATGCAGAACTCATGTACAAGCTCATTAGTGAGTGTATATTAAGTATTTAACACTGGCTTTAAACGTGGCTCAGTCAATTAGATCTTAGAATCAGAAATGACTGATATTTTGATGGACGCATCCTTGATTTTAGGCTTGTCAGTAACCGAATATGAATTTGATGAAATTTGCATCCCTAGATGACATTCGAGGTTTCAATATTGGAAAAGAGAAAAGGTGGTCTTCTGTCTTCTGTCTGCCACTGGTCCCTTTTTTATTGTTATTTATTATTTATCCACTTTCTGTTCTCCTTAAAAGGGAATTCCACCAATTTTCAGAAATTTTCACAAAATTTCTGAATAGTTCCATCCTTGAGATGTGAACGGAGCTTTCAGAGTGGTTTGACGTGAAATTGTTCATTGTAGAGAAACTTACAAACTCAGATTTCTCACAGTGGTGGTGACAGAAACCAGGGGTTGCCATGTCTACAACACAAATATGGCCATTTTATTTACTATCCAAAACCAACAGTGACCCTATACCTGTCTTCTGAGTTCTTATATGTAATGTTGATGATGATAAAAACAGCCATCAATCTAAAAAATCAGTTCTCTATGGGGGCTGTTCTGCCTTAAAACACCCTGTGTGTACCCCTCCGCCCTGAATGAATTAAAAGAAATGTATTACAACAAATTTTGAGCCAAAACTGTATCATAAAAGAACGTGTCAGACGTCAGGCAGCACATATGTAACCATCTCTAATAATAAACTTTCTGTGAGGGAGCTTTTAGAGGTGGACGTCTGGTTCCTATCACCGCCACTGTGGACAACTCTGACTCTAAGTTTCTCTAGAAGGGAGCATTTCACATCCAGCTACTCTGAATGACTGTTTACACCTCAGCCACTTAATTAGGAGTTTATAAGTGAAAAACGGGCTATGAGAAACACACCCTGTCCTATGTCACAGCACACTTAATTGAGATTTCTTAGCACTCACTCGTTAACTAGACAACGAAGTGCACATTCAGAACCATCACAAACGCGAGCCACCGCAAACCAGTCTGTTTACACTGGAGAATGAATGACTTCACCGACTTTGGCTGCCACTCAAACGGGTCCCAACTCCCCACACAGTGCACTGCATAGGTCATCCAAGAGCACCTTCTGTGCCCTAGATAGTGCACTACGGCCCCAAATCAGCGCGATTTAGGACGCAGCCGCTGAGGGTGCTTTTGGTCCAGTTTCAGCTTTCTGAAAAGGTGGCAACGTTTTACTGCGGACGCTTTAATCTAAACCTAACGAAGGCCGGTCCAATTCAGCCGCCTTTCGGCCTCGTGTTTTGCTGACCACCTCTACACGTCAGTCAGCTTTTATGAGCGCCACAGCTGAGGAACAACCGCGGCTGGACAGCGCCGTTCGGCTGTGAGGAGCGTTAGCCGGCTGGCTAACTCTGAGCACTCGAGCTGAAGTGCAAAGAGAGCCGCTTTCCGACAGTTACTCACTCTAAAGCGAGCCCCCCGCCGCCCTGACCCGAGCGAAACCGACTCGACGACGGCGATAAGGCCTCTAACTGCGGTCCGCCATAAACCACCCGGTTATAAAACGAACAAAAACACATATTTTTGTCCTCATTTACCATGTTTGTGATCTCCAGACACCCTCTTCCGCTCTCCCTCTCGGCTCTTCATCTACTTCCGCTACTGCGCACTGAGGCTTCCACCGCAGGTAGAGGAGAGAAAAAAATAGAGGAAAAAAAAGTTTTATTTAAACGATCATTTACATCTTAGAAACATTAAACATATATATATATATATATATATATATATATATATATGTGTGTGTGTGTGTGTGTGTCTGTATATATATATATATATATATATATATATATATATATATATATACACCGATCATTGTCCATTTTATCAGTTCCACTTACTATATAGGTGCACTTTGCAGTTCAGTGCTCCAGCAGCACTGCTGTGTCTGATCCACTCAGACCAGCGCAACACATCCTAACACACCACCACCACTACATCAGTGTTACTGCAACGCTGATAATGATCCACCACCCAAATAGTACCTGCTCTGTGGGGGTCCTGTGGGGGTCCTGACCACTGAAGAACAGGGTAAAAGGGGGCTAACAAAGTATGCAGAGAAACAGATGGACTACAGTCTGTAACTGTAGAACTACAAAGTGCACCTATATAGTAAGTGGAGCTGATAAAATGGACAATGAGCGTAGAAACAAGGAGGTGGTCATAATGTTATGCCTGATTGGTGTATGTGCATGTATATATGTATAGATAGATAGATAAATAGATAGGTAATAGATAAATAATACAAACTAAAAAAATGATAATTAATTATGATTATAAAAAAAGAGAAATAAAAAGGTTGTCATTTTTTAATGATCATGTATGGGGTAAATATACCAATTACATCTGGGAAGAATTAAACATACAGATTTATATTGAACATATTCAAATGAAAGGACTATACATATACCCACACATAAATAACAAACTAAAAATAAAAATTAGATAAATAAAATAAAAAGCTAAATAATGATAATTAAATAATAAAAAAATAATAATAATAATACATTTGACTGTATGTTTCTTTACAAAAAGAGCAAAGTTGGTCCTGTTTAACTGGATTTAGTGCCAAATATTGAATAAAAATCACTGTATTCACAGTTTCTGATAGTGTTTTTTCTTTTTTCTCAGTTCCAATTGATCAGATATCTGAAAAAATAAATATCATGAAGATAATTTATTAAAAAGTATTACAATATTAGATTTTTGCCATATCGCCCACCACTAGCCTCTTTTATTCTACTTGAATTAGTATCGTTGTTTAGGAACAAGACCATCATCTGATTTAGAGAAATGAATTTGTGAGGGGACGTGAGGACCACTAAAGAAAATCATCATCATCATCATCTTCTTAGCCGCTTATCCCCCTAGGTTACTGGGTGGAACGGCCTGGACAGGGCGCCAGCCTGCCATTACAGGGCAGACACACAGATTCACACACACATTCACATCTAGGGGCAATGTGACGTCTGCAATCAGCCTGACTGCAGGTCTTTGGACCCCCCCGACTGGGGAATCAAACCCAGGCCCTGTGAGGCGACAGAGCCACCCACTGCACCACCGCCTCCTTTGGAAAATGATTAAACATGAGACAAGGACTTCTTTAGGCCCACCTCCAATCTATTCTACCAGATATGGCAGTGGCCGATGGTACAGGAGCTGAAAGTGGGCTTTTCCATCTTCATAACTGGGTGAAAGCTGACCATTCATGAACCTTCAACGGCGTCAATGTGCATAAGGGTCTTTGAATCTCACCAGTGACACTGTGTTTAGTTTAGTTTCTGAACCAGTTCAAGTCTGCATTATAGTAGCTTTTGATTGTGTAATGATGAACCAGTCTAGTTTAATTAAGTCTGTGTTAGGCGGGCAAGATAGCCCGCGGGTGCTCTCAGCCCCACCACCCTTTCTCTCAATATCTCTCTCTCTCTCTCTCTCTCTCTCTCTCTCTCCTTTTAGAGCTTTAACCTGTTGATTTTCTTAGTGAAGACATTGCATGTGAGGTTATGTGTTTTTGTGAACACGATGACCAGTTGAGATTATTTTGCTCTATTTTTATCCATTCTTTTATATTTCTTTTTCCTTTTTTTGTGTTCCTGCAATCCTGAAAAATGTATTGCAGGTACAAAATCTGAATGGCAAAAAAACATTTTAAGCATAAAACAGGAAACATTACAAGGATAAAAACTAGTATTTTAAAATGAATTTCTTTTACTTTATTGGGAACAGAAATTTACTAACATCCTGCTGCAACCCTTCTGTCAAAAGTGAGGGAAATTTGCTTTGGGGAAGCAGCTATGTTCATTTCTTATAGCTTTCCTGATACAGTGATCATTACACTTTACTATAGCGAGCTTCCGAATTCCTCTGATGGAAGTACTGTAGCCTCAGTGAGCTCCGAATAGTCATTTAGGTGAAATCCTTTTCATAGTATTCTCGTATTCTTTACAGGAAACAGGAAACGGTTAATTTCTCGAGAAAAGAAGGCAGCCGGAACAGCTTCTTTTGAAACATTCTGCCCACTTATGATTCACTGGATCTAAATCTCTCCTTCCCGTATTGGCCATTAAAATGTTATTCCCACTATTGGCCACCAGAGGTCACCCTTTCTCCTTGTGTTACTAAACCCTCATTTTATAAGACCTTTAATCTGTAATTTCAAAGTTTTTGTTAATTGTGTTTTATGTTGCACAAATGTTTACTTTATGAAGAACCGGGCCTTAAACTTCAACCAGAACATCTGGGCTGTTATTCTCTGATAGTGATGGCACCATCTCAGTCTGGGCCAGAATGTCCCCAGCTCAGCTCTACCACAGCTCAGCATGTTTGTAAAGGCACAGTGCTACAGTCACATGCAAGAAAAATGAATTCTATGATTATGGCATACTTTAATGTAATATAATCACAGATTATTCTACATGTAGGATCGTCATATGGCATTTTTACATTCATGAGACTGTATCCTTCATACTGACCAACCACAGCAGGGGGTCGAGCATTTTCCTAGCCCCAAAATTGTGGAATCATCTCCCGACCTTTGTCCGGGACTTAGACTCTCTCTCTCTCTCTCTCCCTTTATTTGAGCCCCTGAATGACGTTTGCCTCATGGGAGCCACCAGAGTTTCAACCACCATGGAGTTTCATGCTGTACTGACCCTCCTGATGATGCTGCTGCTGCATAAACTCAAACTATCTAATTAACCATTGTTTTGTATTCTAATATTTTATACTAACACTGTTTGCTATCCAGTGTCGACCAGAGGAGGACGGGTTCCCCTTTTGAGTCTTGGTTCCTCTCAAGGTTTCCTCCTCTTGCTCTTAGAAAGTTTCTGCTTTTCCTTGTTTTTCCTTGCCAAATTGGGCTCGGACCCAATTTGTTCTGTAAAGCTGCTTTGTGACAAGGACTTCTTTAGGCCCACCTCCAATCTATCCTACCAGACGTGGCAGCGGCCGATGGTACAGGAGCTGAAAGTGGGCTTTTCCATCTTCATAACTGGGTGAAAGCTGACCATTCATGAACCTTCAACGGCGTCAATGCGCATAAGGGTCTTTGCCGACTGAATCTCACCAATGACACTGTGTTAAGTTTAGTTTCTGAACCAGTTCAAGTCTGCATTATAGTAGCTTCTGATCTGTAATGATGAACCAGTCTAGTTTAATTAAGTCTGTGTTAGGCGGGCAAGATAGCCCGCGGGTGCTCTCAGCCCCACCACCCTTTCTCTCAATATCTCTCTCTCTCTCTCTCTCTCCTTTTAGAGCTTTAACCTGCTGACAACTAGACAACGAAGCGCCCCGTGATCCAGACCACCTCATTTGGGGTGCCAACTGTTATGGCAAAAGGCTGGTGCTGGTAAACCGGGGATCTTCTACTGTCTAAAATTAATGGAAAGTTCTGGACGTGTGATTAGAAGCTATTTTAACTCTTATTTTCAGTCTTTTAGCTCCATTCACCCCCATTCATTGAGAACTCGCTCGCAGGCGCCCTCTGCTGTTCCGCAGTCATCTTTCTGATATAAGGGGGAAATAGGAAGAGGCCGGGCTCCTCATAAACCGGCTCTGACTAAGCTAAGTTACCTCTCCGTGGTTTCCTCTCTCTCCTACCCGTTTCTGGACACAAAAAACACTAAAAACATCAATAATACAACTGTTTTCAAAGCTCTTTTTGAAATCCTGACATCAGTAGCCCTCATAATTCATCAGGATTTCAAATGTTTTGTCCTTATTTTGAAGCCAAACGGTTTTTATTATTAAACTAACGCTGCTTGTTTCACAGAGCGGACGTTAGCAAACCTAGCCGACCATGCCGTGCTAGCATGTTAGCTACATTACCACTAATATCAACACAAACAAACATCACACTAACAGAAAATGACATCTTAGCTGACCTTAATGTTTCCAGGTAATGTCAGAAATACTCTCTAAATTCATCAGAATCCAAATTCACAGGAATTTTCCTTCACAGTCTGTTTTTACGTGTAATTATGTTAGCACTTCGGTGACTGACTGCTGGTTGAACGCTTGAACACGGCTTTCTCTCCAAAGAAACAAGAAAATGATCCAATCAAATCTGTTTATTAACGATCCTTAAACTGATAAACAGTTAAATTGTGGTATTTTTCTTCTCCCTAGTTTGGGATACAGTCTTGGAATCCAGTATAAAAGTCATACACACATTAATCCTTTTTTGATTCCATAGAACTGAAATTCTCAGTGTTGAGATATGTGTTACGTCATTGTGCTGCCTGCCAATTACTATCGGTGTCTCCATTGGAGACCCAGCCATTATGACATCACCGCTTCCGCCTGTGACATCACACTGAACATTTTCTATAGAAGGTCGTGTGCAAAACTGATCATTACCATTTTGCCCACTGCGCAAAAGACTGAACAGACACAATATCAACACTGTAGTACTTTTAGCTTGTGTTTTTAATCTCTTTTTCACAATTCAGCACTTTTTTTTCTCGACTGCCCAGTTATTTTTATTTATTGCAAGAGGCAGAATTTTCTCTGAATAGAGAACTTCACCTAAGAAGAGCAAACAAAGCTAAAAAAGGTAAATGTTTTGAGTATGGTTACATGTCGCTGTTGTCGGAAGAAAACCTTGTA